CTGAATCTTCTTTCTACTTATCTACAAATTATGGCGGTAATGTACCGTATGGCTTTAATACGTCTCTTACTTGAATCCAAAACGATTTCAATGTTTAGATCAAGGGTGCGAGCAAGAGTGATTTGGGGGATTTTAACAGACTCTTTTCTTCTTTTTTTTCACTTAATTAAACGGTTTGGATGACTGTAGTCAAAACAAGATGTCGATGCCAAAACATCGTGGGTTATAAAATAAGGAGTGGGACCATGCGCTGTATACCGTAATAGATTGTCATAGAAATCGAGCGTTGAAATAAAGTATTATGTTGAAAAGTTTGGTTTGTTTTTGACCGAAATCGGAACTTGAGACAGGGAGAGAAAAGCTAACCCTTGAACACTTACTAGATTATTTAGCAAATGGTATATTTATATTTCGATAACTCGATTACGTAAGGGGAATTGAAAATCTTGTCACTTACAAATATGCAGTCTAACCCATGACTTGCAGCCCACAGGGAGCGAGTTGCATTACGGACATATGGTTGGGCACTTTTCCTCGTATTTGAACATACTCAGTATAGCAAGAAGGAAAGTTCTTACAACTCTGGCTTCAACTTGGTATTGTTTAAGTATACCATTTGCAACCATCAATTTTAGTATATAATTCTTTCTAGATCGCGCATTTGAACCCATTATTATTCCTTTCGTTTTAAACCGAGTCAAGGCATCGTTTTAATTCGCTCTAACACCTAATAATCTGCTGGGTGTTATGAAAGCGCTATAAATAACTTATTCGTCTAAAATAAGAGAATTTAAATCCTATCAGGCATTATGCTATCTTATAACCCAACTTGAAGGATTTAGTACGTCTAGGTTTATTACATGCAGTATTTCGACAATATTGAAAAATACCTTGTAATAAACTTAAGAAGTAGTGAATTCATAAAGTGGTGAATGTTATGCCAAACAATACAGGTACGATTCGGTGACAATAAAGGGCAATTACTCTTCAAATACGTGTTTCGCGACTCTTAACTTCGATACGGTTCATCATTATCATTACTTCGTAAACTAGTAATTTACAAGGTTTAGTCACAAGCGCAACAACTCTACAAGTCTTTGATGCATAACTCGTCATGTGGCATATTTTTAACCATTGAGATTTACAAAAAATCACAACAAACTAAGAGTCACAAATAATTTACGTTGAGAGCGATTAAGGGAAGTTCAGGCGGACACACGTCACAGATGACGGTAATATTCGATCACATTAACATCTAGACATATTAAAAGGTAATCCACCTCTAGATGAACTGTGACGAACGTAGTATTTGATATTTTCTATCAACCAAAACTAATCATCTTGAAGGAAACATAACAACAGTACCACATTAATCACAAATAACCAGTGATAAATATCAGTAAGATGGACCGTTAGATTTATTGTTCAGTTGGTCAATAACTCATAGATTTCATTGTCAAGAAGGTTTTGTCTATGTCGGGTACCGAGATATAGGAACGCAGTTTTAACGTCTCGTCAAATTGTAAAGTAAATGGTTCTAGAAAGAGTTAACATACCCTGGCTCTGTGCATAACGGTCGGAGGTGGGGGGTGACCGAATGCACAATGCATCTTTAAGTAGAAGAAGCTTTGATCATTATAAGACATCTGTGGGTGTGGCATTTTTCCGTTGTCTGTCGTTATTGGTATTCTATAAGATGAAATCAATAACCCTTAATGGGCCACCTGTCATAGATTGACTCAGTAATAAAATGAAATCACTTGAACTATACTGTATAAGCACAATCTCTTCCTTTTCATGAAATAAAGTATTGGGATTTTACAGTACGCAGTCTAGATCCTTATCTCGAGTAAAAGGAGGTTATGAAACCATCACGCAATGTGTTAAGGCAATATCATCATTCCAAACATCTGATGACATGATATTGGACTAATATTCTCATACCCTATATCTGCACGAATGCTTGCTGAAACCGACTATATCTGAATCCTCTCAAGTTGTGTTCTTAATGCTATAGTAATTCCAGTCCCATACAACATCGTGATTTCATTAAGAAACCTTGTCAGCTTAGCAGGCTTACGACGAAGACAAGACATTCGTCACAGGAAACGAGCAACCTTAGCAATATCACAATATTCTCGATTTACCAATTTTTACATTATTGTTTTCATGTAACATGTCTCTTTACACGTTTTGCATATAAAAGAATGTTCTTGAAATAGAGGTTACGAATTTGTGCGGGACAGATGGGGGGGGGGAGTTGTTGTGGGGCCGGTGAAGAGAGGGGAGTATGCGCGCCCGCATCTCTTTTTAAGTGGCAATGTCTAGGATAATTTAGCCGAACATAACTTTATTTTCAACTCATGAAAAATGACTAGCGCGCTTTAGGACATAAGGCATGGTTTCGACCCCTCTTACGTTTTCAGTTAAATTTACTTCATTCTGAGCAAATATATGAATATGTGAAGAATACCGTAGTCTCTATTGTCATTGCTATTGTTGTTCTAATAATAACCAAAGTCTCGATCATCCATTTTTAAATTAGATTATTAAATGGCGATCGTGTTTCAATCGCTTCAAAATCACAACCAACCATCGGATAAACTGCAGTTGAGACAAATCTGATGTGTTGGCGTATTTCTACGCTTTGCGTGACTACCTTTAAATTAAATTATTAAATGGCGACCGTGTTCTAGGGGGTTGATTATGGACTTGTCATGTGAATAAATGTCTAATAAATAATTGATATAACATTTGAGGCCAAACAACAGATTTGTAATGGGCAGATATAGCTCTTACATAATTCTTCTTTAAATATAGTTCCAATTAACGAACATTACATTCGGGAATGGTTTTCTTTTAATCCTGCAAGCAAGGTATTATATCACAGTGGATTCATAAACGTAATTAGATAATATTAGGTAACCCTTTAATCACCGACACAAACAAACAAATAAACACAATTTGTATATTTGTCTTTTAAAGTGTTCGATATCAGAAGCACGGGCCTGCTGACTGTATATATAACTTTGGGTTGGCCTTCTATGTATATAAAAAAAGAAGAAGTGGTGTGATTTTCATTTTCACGGATATCTTTTACAATTGTTATTAATCCGTTAAAAAAATTTGGAATAATGGCATGTAAAAGGAACTAGCGAGCATTTTCGCCATAGGAGTTATCATTCCTTCATTGCACCAATACAAACTTGATAGGTTATACAAATCATTTATACCGTGTACTGTCTCGAATTTATCAGCCATAGTACGTGACTGACAGTTTAGATCCTTTCTCTTGTCCTGATAAAATATAGAATTGGTTCCGAGACAAGAATCCATCCAACATGACTTGCACAGCATGTGCAACGAACAAGAAATTGTTGAATATATACTGAATGTCTTTGAAAAGATTATTCGCAAAACAAAAATCCCAAACTTCGAATCAATTATCCAATTGGTGTGATCTGGCTGTATGCTGAATATGTGATATATGTTCGCGTGTCAATGACTGCAGGCAGTCTTATTATCACCGAATGAGATGATCATAAAGAATATGGTCAGCGCTCATTAGTTTTGAATGATTCATTGAAGGCTTAGACGTGTTCCATATTCACGTCCAGATCGAATTAAAGACCAACCTTTTTGCCCTCATACTTGAAATGCCCAGATCCGATATATAAGTCTCTGGCTAGACCTATTTGGGATTAATCCCTTGTATTTTTGGTAAAATTACAGTCGAAGTAACAAAACAAACCAACTCAACTCTTATGATTTGACCTAAATCAATCTAAATGTGTTAGCTGTATGCGACCTCCCCGGCTATTCAAATGAGAAATGTTATGAGACGTTCTAGAAACAGTGTTGCGGTTGCTTTCGGGCTAAATATACCACTTTCTGGAAAAAAGTAGAATGGGTTATGCATCTTAGTCGATATTTTACCATTTCGTGCTGGCGATATCCTAGGAGCAAGTGGAAATGCACATGGAATAGCGTATAATGTAATTAATACATTTTGTAGCTTTTCATTTTAACCTCCCAGTTCATACATGTATATTTTCTACGGGGGTCCATGTAAACATCGGTGGACATGCAGAAGAACCCTAGACAGCAGTTAGAATTCGATATAAAAGTATGATTTTAAAACCCGTGTCATTTTATGTCATTTCCTTTACACGTAGTAGCAGTACTTCTTAGTACAGGTTTGCTACAGGAGTCTTTAGCAGCCAGTTATTTGGAGTTATTTGGAAAGAATCGATTAGAGATAGATATATTTTATTGAATAAAACTGATAGCTTCGGGTTGAAAGGCTCATGCAAACATAAGACCGATCCTAAATTCCTAGCTGTTTAAAGGCTCAATACCACTCTTGTTGTAACTGAATAATATGTCCCAATCTTTATTCTGGTCAACAAATTGTACTATTTTAGAATATTTCAATTAATTGATGATACAAATTTCATCTTAACACACCTTATTTAAAAAATTTTAAAAATTCAAAATAATGGTTTGAAACGTCTAACGTAAACCTTTTCAAATGAAACTTCGATTTAAAAATATTTTCGAACCCTCTGGACAAGTAAAATAGGATGTAATGGATAATTTACACAACAGGTAGGACACTTAAACATCTAGTACTTAGATAGAGATATTATTTATTTTCTGGAGCTTTCAAGCCAGCAAGAGTGTTATTGTCCCTTTAAGTGCCTGGATAATCTATATACCTACCAAATTAAGGTGGTAAGTGATCGTCGTGATTATCTAGTCATTAGTACGATTTAAGAATGAAATACCTTAAATGAGTTACACAACCCCTTTAAGAAAACCCAGCGATTATTTCCGAACGGCTCAGTATTTTGATATGAAATTTTCACACAAGTTATATAGACTTTATCGTCAAAGGTTGGTCCATTAAACATATCGGGATCATTTTTGACGAGTTTACATTTTCAACATAGATTGATATTATTACCACAGCCATTGAAGTTTGTTTTCATGTGTTTCAGGTCTAGGCTATGGAATGTTGGTTCTAACAAGTCTTATCAGTATGTTTTATAATACGTACAGCGCCTGGTCTCTTTTTTATTTCTTCTCTTCATTTACATCGAGATTGCCTTGGGAACCCATAAATAAAGGTAAATATTGAAACAACACATCGACTTCTCATTGTTTTCAGAAGAACCTTATTATTAATAACCAGATATCTTGGGAAAAGGGGGGGGGGGGTCTAATTGGGAGCCCGTGAACATGTCCCAGAAATATCAAACAAATACACTTTTAAAATATTCGATTTTCCATGAAACGATCTAGATGCATTTTCGTGTGTGTGTCTTTTCTATTTCATACATTTGGTTAGTCTTGTGGAATGAGCGTAGATATACGATGGTATTTTATCGGAAATCGGCTTCGCGGCAAATCCTGTTTCAACAACAACCCAAAGTAGTAGTAGTTAGTTGTATTTTACGTCCGCTTCCACCGAGGTGATATCGCAGACAACCCAAAGTCCTGGATGACCTATTAAATGGGTGTGTCAAGTGGAGGCTTCTAATAAACATCTGTCATTCACCAGACCATGATCGATTTCCCTTATTGACCAATCTTCTCAATGACGTAACTCTTGTAACGATTGAAAAACAACACCAATCGGTCAATCTTAACTGCGATGCTGTCCAATCAGAGAAGTGTCTAAACACGATGGCGGAAAAGATCAGACGTAACACATATGCAAATCCCTTGGAGTCATCTTGACTTTTCAAACAGCATATATAGGGGTCACCTTCAATTCACTGCTATAAAACAAACTGTTAAATGAACGGTCTAGGGAATACAATGAGATTATTGGACTTTTAGGTCTCGTCGACACGTTGAAACAAACTCATATAAATTACGCGTACATCAACGTGTAGAGGGATAGATTTGTTGGTTTTCGTTTCATCCGAATTATTAGGCACACCTCCTTGTCAGTCCTGCTACTATCTGTAAAGGTAGTTTTCCAAGTTCTTAGTAATACAGGGGCATGTCAGTCGACCGTACTGTTGGGCAGACAAGGAAGGTGTGAATAGTTGTTCGCATGGGACAACCCGTAGGCCTACTCGTAAAAGAATCCCTAATAGTTGGAAATCGAGGAGTATCCTACCACGCATGGCACAAGTAACCATAAAAATAAACCTACCACATTTCTGTCCCAAAATCAAAATGGCCGAAACATTGTGTTAATCCAAGCCCCATTCCATTCTTTTTTATTCGTGTAATTCATAACTAAAGCAGTCGTTAAATGAAATAGGCTTTATCGTCCTATTTTTCTGCACCGACTGAGCTAATGATGACGGGCATAGGCCATACAGAGTACTATTGGGAAAATTATACCTGAACAGTGGCGACACCGCATACTCTTATATTGAATTCCAACTGGCAAGGGTTCATTTACGTACAGTTTAATGTGGATATGCATTTTGAAATTGATGCTTTTCAACCTAATCACCTAAAATATAATCCTGTATAAGCGCTTCCGGTTGTTCATCTAGTCAGTTTTACATTTAAAGACGCATCTGTACGATGTAGATAAAGATCTGGTCGTTCTAGCTATAAAAGTTTAAGAATAAATAATGAAAAATAATAATATATTAAAAGTTCCAGGCAAATTACTTTATTCTGGACGAAGTTATGAATATTTGAGTGTTGACAAGAATAGCCTAAATTGTGTCTGAAGATTACCGATTGACAGTTCATGTTTTCGATTGTCAAGTACCGTTGCTATGATAATAAACGAAGTCTCCATTTTCAGTCCTTCAATCAGTCGTCACCGTGAGTGTCGCCACATTATTTTTTAATGTAGATATGGCGGGCATTGTTTAATCCACTCAATACCATCCGATAGTCTAGAGAGGAGGGGAATGTGGGCTTGTCTGTGGTTAAATGTCTAAATAATAATATATAAAAAGTGAAGCCAGAAAATACAACCTGCAATATGTAGATTTAGCTCTTGCATTATTCATCTTCAGTTTTTCTGATAATTGTGAAATGAAATGAAATGGGGTTTAACGTCCTACTGTTCAGCTCCTACTGGGCTAATAAAGACGGGCATAACCATGCAGTGTGCTATGAGGAAAATTTTGCCCGGCCCGGACAGCGGCGCTATGACCTACTCTTATTTCGAATTCCAATTGTCAAGGGTTCTTTTACGCGCACGCAAATATGTACACGGGACCTCGTTTTTTGTCCCATTCGAACGACTATACGTTGTCCCTTGTCGGGACCTCCGTCCTACACTACTGAACACGGTACCACCAGATTAGGGAGCCAACATCCTATCAACTGAGCCACTGATAAAATTGTAGGTGTGTACATTTTCAGGTAATAATACAAACAACGCCTCTGTATCAGTAGCTGGTTTGGTGCCATCTATACAATCTTCACAAAAATATCTTCAGTAAGTTCACGTTTTATATCCCTCTTTGATAATTGGGTCATTATAAAGGGTTTAATTAGGTTGTTCTGGTCGATGGTGCAAACTCGATACGATTCATTTTTTGTTTCTATATAGATTAAGTTTACTAGCTTTAGATTTATTTTTGGGTTAAGGGGTCGACAAGGGAACACAAATTAGCTTATATCTGAACACTAGCTTTATCTATGAACATGATGCTGCTACCCATCAAATATGTCACAACTACAATCAAATACACAATTTTATTTTTAACCGAAATCAAAGAGGCTTAATCATTTAAATGGTTTTGTGATTTTTTATCGAAGATCCCCCTGTTCTCCGGTTTCCTCTCATCCCTCCGATAACCACCAGCCAAGTCTGTGAACTAATGAAGGTTATGTTAGAATCTTTTGAGTAGGACAGGGCAGCCTTTGAGGGCATTTTACAAAAGCCGGGCTTTTTCACAATATATCCATCGCTAACTTTAATATTTGCCTAAACTGTTGCATTATTAAAAATCATATTTTACCATTATTCAGTAAACATATCGAAGACATAATATTCCCTTTAAAATTTAGTCTGGGTATATAAAGGGAAACAACTCTTGTTCTCGGGGCAGACGATAAGAAGCGTTTCAGGTGCATACGTGCAGTACGCTAAGAAAAATGTCATAGATTGATGAACAATTTGATTATTTCAGTGAAAATATGTTAGATTTGTCGTCAGGACTGGATGATACAGGACAAATACAACCTTATTTAGCAGGATGTCTTCTGTTGTCATGGATACTAGTTGGTGTAGCTGTTTATTGGGGACACAATTCTTTGGGAAAGGTACTACTATCAATTTGGTTTCACAGTGGTTGAGAAAACAATTCCCTATATTATAACATTTGTAAACCCATTCGAACATTAGAAAAATAGTAGACTAATTCACATGTTGGATAGAATCTGGCGACATTGACAAATGACCTTGGAAGATTCGCGTTACTCATAAATGGCACGCGTATCATAAAGAAGTAAACTCAAAAACAATATTCAGTTTTCCAAAAAATGCAAGTTTCTGCATATGAAGCCTACCATACCTAATAAAACTCAATGCAAATTTTAGTAGTTGGGGTTGTATTGAAATTGGTAGGTTATCATTTTTGATCCTAGCGTACGCCTGTGTTTTCCCACAGTGATATTAAACAAATCTTGGAGAACTCGTGGAGAATTCTAAAGTGCCAATAAAGTGCCAATTTTATCAGATATTTAAAGGTAAAAACAATGCATAGGCCTACTTTATTTGTCAAAAATTGTATAAAGAGTCACAGTCCATATTTAATGTCTTTCAGTCCATTTATCTTAATACCTCTTGTGATTTTTCAGTCTCTTTTAGCTGTATTGGCACCATAGGCGTACGAGCTGGGGGGGCTGGGGGCGGCTGCCCTCCCATTTTGGGCACCAAATGCTGGGAAAATTTGGGCACACAATTGTATTTTGTAAAAGTTGTATAAAAAAAGATATTGTGTTCTTGAATGTGTCCAATTTAACAGCGAATTTATTATTATTATGTAACATACTAAGAACCTAACTACATTTTTTGGGCACCAACCACCACCGCCCCCCCCCCCCCCCAGTCAAAAATTTCCCCGTACACCTATGATTGGCACAATATTTCACACATTTTTTCTAAGCCATAAAATATTTTCAGTATTGTAGGCCTATTGGGTTAGAAGGGAATGTAAACATATAAAGAATTTAACCAAATAAAGATTATACAATTTAAAGTTTAAGATTAGGTGTAAACCTTTTTGATGGAGACCATGAGACATTAATCAAAATGGTGGCTACCTTTTAAGCCATATCTGGTTATTTTTGTGTTGTTTTCAGATTGCCTTTGTTACAGGAACATTACCTTATGTATTATTATTAGCCATATTTGTTGGAACTATAACTTTACCAGGAGCTGTGAATGGTATCAAGATGTTTTTGACCCCCAGATGGCCTATGTTAGGTAAACTTCAGGTTAGCCTATCTGAAACTTGTTTATTGTAGATTTAGAAAAGTTTAATAGATAAAACCTGTGTGAGACACTGTGTATTGCGAAAAATCTGCTAGAATCAAAATATGGCAATAATAGGTATATTGTGGGCATAAAGTGGTCACCAGTGTTCAGTTTGAAAATTTACATAATGACTCTGGTATTTATTGGGTTAGAAGTCAAGTTCATGTGATATTTGGTCATGATATCTGTACTTCGAAACCAAAAATCATTCATATGAGGCTGGTGGCAGCACATCACACCATATCCACCTTCTAATTCTAAGCATTTAAAGCAATATGTGTATAACTGAAAAAAACAAATATCCATACAAAATATGTTTAAATTGTTAAGGGGGTTTTCTATGTGTTATAATGTAGTTTTCATGCAATATGTATTAAAATCATAGTCATTAGGTCTGATGATGGTTGATAATTTATTGTAGGTATGGTTAGATGGTGCCATGATGGTATTATGTAGTATGGGATTAGGTACTGGTGGTATTATAAATTTATCTGGTTATTGTCATTTTCATAGTGGTTGTTTCAGGTTAGTTTACATCAATTGTCGTATTATTGAATGTACAATATTCTAGGATAGATCTAGAGAAGATACCACCATCCTTGTTCTTAGAGCTGAATTTCAAGCTCCTGGTCTTCAGGAACCAGTACTGAAAGACAGTAATGTATTATAGATCCATGGAATTTTTAACTAGGAGGTTCTCATTATTTCACATTGTATTTTGAATTATTGTTTCTGAAAATTGATGTTATGGTGTTTATAATCTTCAGAACTATATGTTATGACTCTCTTGAAAAGTCTTTGAATACAGAATTCCAAATTTTGCATAAATTAATGTGTTTTAGTAGAAATGTGTTCTAATGTTCCCAATCATACTCTTTTTAAAGTACTATTATATTAACTGATCAGAATTCTCTGTTCAAAAACATTTTTGTATCAAATAATTTTGTGTTGATAGGAATGCTATGATAACTGGTTTATTTAGTGTAGCAGGCTGTACATTAGCTGGTTGTTGTATGTTTTCTATATTTGGAGTTTATACATATACAACACAAATACCACTACATTCATTGAACATATCAGGTGAGCAAAATGAATCAATAGAATTGGTTTTTGGAAGCTCTAGTCTCTACACTGATAATATAGATCAGATACTCCTTTAATAACACAAGCAAGGTAGAAAATTTGCATGTGACATGAATAGACTGAAACAATTTACAAATTCATTAAGGGATACAACTAGTTCTCTTTTTCTTAGACGTTTCTGTAAAGACATGGATTTACCAGTTTTAATTTTGAAAGACATCTATACAATAGTCTGATACTGTTGGATTTAACTTTGCCCACATCTCTGCAAAATGGCCCTGTTACTTGGTAGTCTCTTAATGATGAACCAACTGTTACTGAGTGGTCTCTTAAAGATTAACTAACTAACTGATACCAATAGAGTGGTGTTGGACTTACAACTTAGCTGTTACTGGGTAGTCCCTTAATGATGAACCAACTGTTAACGCAGAAAGTTTTTTATGAAGAACGGCCCTGTTACTGAGTGGTCTCTTAAAGATTAACTAACTAACTGATACCAATAGAGTGGTGTTGGACTTAACTTTGCTGTTACTGGGTAGTTCCTTAATGATGAACCAACTGTTAACATAGAAGGTTTTGATGAAGGATATTCCTGTTACTGGGTAGTCTTTAAAAGAGATTCAGTTTCCCTTAAATTTACAGTTTCAAGACCTGGATTATATTTCATAATTAAAAACTATTGCTGTTAGTTCATATTAAATAAATTGTTGATTATCTTATTTCAGAAACAGAGTTTGCTTTTCAAATATTTCCAGCAATCAGCCATTATTTACAACACTCACCAGTGTGGTCGGCCATGTTCTACCTCCTGTTATATATAAGTTGTTTTGGTACCCAGATAGTATATATAAATACAATACATACAGGCTTTCTATATAAACTTGGTGTACATACAACTGTATGGAAATTATCCAGTCTTATCTTCTTTATTTCATTATTTTATATATGCGGTTTAACCACAATTACACAGGTAGGATTTCTTATTTACTTATATTTTCAAACCTTTAAGTCCCAATAACTTTTATAGCAACAGTTTTACATTGTTTAATGTTGACTGTTTAACAATGGTTCATGTGGTAACAATCATAAGGCCTACCCAGTACCCATGCAGTTAGAAATTGACATTGTCAAAATAAATCTCCAATAATTTTGTTATATTACAAATCAGCTGGGCAGGTGTCTCAAATTGTGCATAGGTAACAGGGCACAGGTGAAAAACACACAATTGCGAAAATATGAAAAAATGACACAGTTCTGAAATATGCACAAAAATCAATTCTGCAAAACAAATTGATAGTTGTAATTTCTGCAAAACAATTTTTTTATACATATTGAAAAACATAGGTTCAGGGACAACATGTCTTATTATTTGGCATATCATATGCCAATCATAAATCACAAAACATCTCGATTAATTTTCTGTTGGTTATTCAAATTTTATACCCTGATGACTTAGTTGGAGAATCAACCTGATTTTAACCATCTGAAACTCTGAATAACTTGAAAAATGTACAGTTACATTTATACAATTACATTTTCTAGTTACAGAAGAATCATGTAGATTGCTTTTAGAAGAAACTTGGGGAACTAATGTAACAATTTGTGAATTGTAATGATTACCGATGTATGATATTTGATTATTTCTGTGTGTTTCAGGCAGGAATGTATGTTATGACATATCTAAATGAGTTTGTACATAAATTAGCTATACCTATATTTTGTTTAATGGAATGTGTATTTACTACCTGGTTATATGGTGCTCAGAGATTCTATAATAAAGTAGCAGATATGACTGGATCATCTGATAGCCCTTTTATAAAATGGATATGGAAAGCTGTGTGTCCTCTTTCTTTAGTTGTAAGTAGTTTTTTACTACCGGTACCTTTCTTTTCCAGTTATTGTATCAATGGCCTATTATATTTAGCATTCTGCTAAGGGGGCTTGTTCTTAAACTTAATCTACCACTTCCCTAATTTCAAACATGGCCAAAGTGTGGTGCTTGTTTTAGAACTAAGTTTTATTTGCTCAATGATTTGTAAGCATTTATGCAGCAGTAATTAGAAGTGGGAGGAAATTAGAGCACCCAGAGAAACCCCATAAGATTAGGCAATCTTGCTCTTTGTCATCTTCAGCATGCAATTAGACCTCTTGACCACCCAACCCTCTTCTGAAATTTTCAAGACACAAGTTACGGTATGAAAACTATATATCAGCCCATTTGAACAACATACATTTTGAAAGGAAATTTATGTTGGTACCAGATAATCTAGATCCAATAAATGGTCTAACCCCAATTGTTTAAAATAGGTCAGTCTAACATTTATAGGTAAGAAAAAGCTACAGTCATTTATAAACATTGATCTCTTGAAGAATAGGAAGATGTTGACGAACTTGGTTCTGGTTCGTTCTTTTCTAATCTGTAACAATTGTGTATAATAAGGTCTTTACCCGTTTAAAAATTATGAAATGAAATGGGGTTTAACGTTCTACTGTTCTGCTCCGAACTGGGCTAATGAAGACGTGCATACGCCATACAGTGTGCTATGGCCTTACAGTGTGCTATGAGGGAAATTTTGCCAGGACAGCGGCACTACAGCCTACTCTTATATAGAATTCTGTCAAGGGATCTTTTACGTGCACGCCAGTGTGTACACGGGACCTTGGTTTTTCGTCTTACCCACTTAGCCACCATGACCCTCACTCAAAAATTATGATTAAATAATTTGTTTTCATGTTATTTCAGGCAATATTAGCATTAACAATAGTCTGTGATAATTGTATATTGTGTAAAGCAGAAGTTGGTGGTAAAGCCTGGATGGAACCAGTTGGTTGGTTTATTTCTGCTCTACCAGTATTTGTCTGTTTTATTCCTAGTTCTGTCAATCTCATTACATTCCATGGATCATCAAAACAAGTAAGTATTAAGATATAAATGTAGTAGGGATGTGTGATCAGGGCTGGATTAACCAGTAAGCAAATGAGGAACCTGCTTAGGGCACCACAGAATTTCTACTTGGTTAGATGACAAATTCAAAATGTTTAATTTGAAAATTATTATTTTATTCGATTTTTATTCTTTTTTTATCTTTTTTATCTTTATCTCAATATATAATGACAGGTATAAACCTCTTAGCAGGTGCTTGACAGATTGATTATGTTTTATTATTGTTTACATTTTGAATCGTATTGGGGCACCAAAATCTTCTAAGTGCTTAGGGCCTCTGTAAGTGTTAATCGGCACTGTGTGTGGTGTACTGTTTGACTGTTCGTATAACTGGGGACACCTAGATTATTTTGTCCCGTGATGTCTCGAGTTCATATATTTCCCCAACATTGCATGAGTTATGATGGGTTAGGTGTTACATGAAACGTGTTACAAGAAATGTTAATGTTAGCACATTATAACCATATTGTGAAAGCCAAGTAAAAATTAAATAGCTTTAGTTAGACAGTAATCAGAAGGGTTGAAAACATGTATTAATGAAATACAAAGATAGAGCATAAGTTCTTATTTCTATAAAACAGTGAAAAACTTGTGTCAGCACTGTTAGATTGCTATTAAAAAAACATTAAAAAAACATAATTGATAAAGTACTAACATTAAATGGTATGACAATACTGGACTAGACCTTATATCAACCGTAAAGATTTGTCTCATATAGTGATATAGAAATTTGTTTTTAGTCATTTCCTTAACATTTATAAGATCTGTCATTGGGTCAAGTTTTCATTCCCAGCTTGTATGTGACAAGAATTAGTGTCGCCAGTCCAACCTCACGTGTTTTCTCCAGGTCCTCTGCTTTTCTCCCCATTTCTCTGTCTCTTCACATTCAGGAATCTGTGGTATCAACATAAGGTGACCCCCCCCCCATATATATATCAGCTATGTCATTACCACAACAACAGCGAAATAAGCTTCACATGTTACATTAATTACCACCTGTTGTTCAGGTATGTCAGGTCACAGCTATTTCATGCCATATTAAAGATCATAGGTCAGTAGTAAATATTTTATTTTAGCATCATTTGACACTCTCTCCCTCTCTATTTACTGATGAATGAAGCTTTATCCATCTCATTAACATTAACAACAAAACATTACAAATTTCTACAAACAAAAACAAAGTATGTGATTTAAATATAAAATAAAGTAGATGTTATTGTATAATACATAAATCATGTTTTTATTAGGTGTATGCAATAGACCATACTTGATTTATAAACTAAACCAGTCATCTTCATCTTCATCATTCTTCACAGGTAGTTTAAATATTGATGATCACATGTTGGTACTCATTCTTAAAAAATATCATGATAGTATATTATTAGACTATAGCGAATTCAGTAATGTTAAAATATACATATTTAAGCTATTTTTTTTAAATGACAAATTAGGTGGATTATGAACGTAAAGTCATAGTCTGTAAATAACTGTCTTGATTTCAAAAGTACTCTTGATATTTAATTTAAAGTAGCTACAAGAATAATGCACTAGGAAGGATATGCTTAATCTTTCTATAACACCTAATGTCACTTTGTCTTTAGTCTTTTTATAACATCTGATGCCAATTAGAGTGTAATGACTAGATCTGTTGGTTTTGTGAAAAAAAATAGAATTGTCAATTTAATTAATTTTCGGGTCTGCAGATAGAGCTGATGTTTAGATACATCTGATTTTGTGGTTATCTTTTGACATTTTAAGCAAAATTTGAAACTCAAATAGGTTAACAGACCAACATGAACGTTATCTGCTGAAATGAACATTTAATCAAACATTTAAACCAGTAATAATAGAATTAGCACATCTTATCATCCTAATTCAACACATTTCATGGGAAGATATTATTGTCACCACTGCCCATCTATCGATGCATCCACAATTTTTATTATTACACTGCCCCTGTAACTAAAATCTAATGAAAGCTTTTGAGATCTTTTTTTTCATACTTGCTGGAATTGTTTAGTTAGATAGTCCTAATGACAAACAAAAATCAGTTCAGAGTTATTGCCCCTGTCACCCAAACTTTAGAAATGCTCTAGAGGATAGAGAGGTTTTCTTTCTCGGATTGTTTCGAGGGACTATGTCGAAATTCACACTTTCCAAACAATTTTTATGCATTGTCATTGTTTAGTGAGTATAGCGATGCCCATTAAGTTGGAGGTCCCAGTTTCGATTCCAGAGTTTACACAATTTTCCAGTCTAGTTTCAGTTGTCAGTGGTACAAAACGGAGGGACTAGCAGGTAAAAATGTCTAGTCATAGGTCCCATGTACATAAAGAACCCTTGGCATTTGTAATTCAAGGATCAGTAAACAGAAACGCAGCTCTCAGGGAAAAATTTGCCTCATTTGTCTTCATTAGCTAGGTTGGTGCAGCAAATTTCATTTCATTTATACATAGTTATTGTCTTTGAAAACATGAAGATCATTCATTAAAATGCATTGCCTGGCAACCCTGTTTACATCAAAGAAATAAAATAAGGTTTATATAATGTCCTACTTTTCTACACAAACCTAGCTAATGAAGATGGGCATACACTGTGCTGTGCTATGAGGCAATTTTGTGCCGAACTCATACTGTCAAAGCTTCTTTTACGTGCACTTCATTGTGTACACAGGAACTTGATTTTCCATCACGTCCGACCATAAATCAAAGAGATTTTCTTTTAATACTTCTGTAATACATTATACACTTTGCTTCACATTTAATACAAATGTATGTGTGGCCTTTTTCTCTATTTTTGTAGCATCATTGATGCACGATAGTTTTTTACATAAAATAAACACAATTATTTGACTAAATGGTATTTTCTTCATTTTAAGATATTTTCTTTATTCATATGACAATGATATATTATTGCAGTAAAAGAAAAAAAATGAAATGCATTAATTTTATAAATGATTTCATGAACAAGCAAAAAAAATCTTAAAAGTTAAATATATAAGCATAACTTTTATGTTTGACACACCTATAAAATTAGCTATTTTTGCTTGTTATGACATGATCAAGCATCCTTGAAGCAACACAAGTAGTTTCTCAAAACTTGTTAATGTTCCCGCAAAGTACACTACGATATTATATATGATCATTAGATTTAATAATAGATAAAAAAAACTCCAGGGATTACATCTGCTTTAATAGTATAGAAAACAAAATCGTGTGAGTATATATTATGTTAGTCTGCTCATTTAATCGATTATGCTAAATAAAATTTGTGAGTTTTTAGAGGATGTTCGGAAGAAGTAAGTTCTGTATATTTGACTGACTTTTGTTTAATTTGGTTGAACATATAATAATATTATGTCTGTTCAGAAATGATTAAGTTGTTTACTAAATTGCAAATGTCGCTACACAGACATTGTTGATGACAGAATACATTTCTGATTTGTTTTGCTACAGGAATGTTCTATTTCATCGTAGCAGGCAGTGGCATGAGCAAGACAGACTATTTTATTATTGGAATATTCCTGTGATATGACACTCCAAATTTAGGGATTTTCCCCTTTTTATACGCCCACATTTTCATGTGGACGTATTATGCCGTCGCCCCTGTCCGTCCGTCCGTCCATAATTGTTTGTGGACTCTCTACAGGTCACAATTCTTATCTGATTTCGACGAAACTTGAAATATAGGTTTATCCCCAAAAGATCTCGGCTGCTTTCGATATTGGCATGTATCGGATCGAAACTTCATGGATTATGGCCCCTGTTTGTACGAAAAATCACGTTTTTAGCTTGTGGACCCTATAGAGGTCACAATTTTTATCCGATTTTGTTGAAACTTGAAATGTGAGTTTATTAACCCAAAGATCTCAGTTCCTTTTGATATTTGTGCATATCGGACAGTAACTTCCTGAATTATGGCCCCTGATTGTACGAAAAATCACGTTTTTAGCTTGTGGACCCTATAGAAGTCATAATTTTTATCCGATTTAAAAAAACGTTCTATTATATCACCATTACACCCTAAGAATGACTGAGTTCGAATTTCGTGAAAATCGGCCCAAAATTGACAGACAAAATGGCCGCCGTTCGTTCCCAAATAGCGTAAGAATATGGTATATCAAGGTTGTGGACCCTATAGGGGTCACAATTTTTATCCAATTTTGTTGAAATGTGAAATGTAAGTTTATAACCCAAAGATCTCGGTTCCTTTCGATATTCGTGCATATCGGACCGTAACTTCCTGAATTATGGCCCCTGATTGTACGAAAAATCACGTTATTAGCTTGTGGACGCTATAGAAGTCATAATTTTTACCCGATTTAAAAAACGTATTATTATATCACTGTTACACTCTAGGGACGACTGAATTTCGTGAAAATCGGCCCAAAATTGACAGACAAAATGGCCGCCGTTCGTTCTCAAATAGCGTAAGAAAATGGTATATCAAGGTTGTGGACCCTATATAGGTCACAATTTTTATCCGATTTTGTTGAAACTTGAAATGTATGTCTATAACCCAAAGATCTTGGTTCCTTTCGATATTTGCGCATATCGGACCGTAATTTCCTGAATTATGGCCCCTGATTGTACGAAAAATCGCGTTTTTAATTTTTATCCGATTTAAAAAAACGTATTATTATATTACCGTTCCACCCTAAGGACAGTTGAGTTTGAATTTTGTGAAAATCACCCCAAAATTGACAGACAAAATGGCCGTCGTTCGTTCTCAAATAGCGTAAAAATATGGTATATCAAGGTTGTGGACCCTATAGAGGTCACAATTTTTATCCGATTTTGTTGAAACTTGAAATGTAAGTTTATAACACAAAGATCTCAGTTCCTTTTGATATATGCGCATATCGAATTGTAATTTCCTGAATTATGGCCCTTGATTGTAGGAAAAATCACTTTCTTGTTAGCTTGTTCTCTATCCATCTCTCGAAAATGTGGGCGTATCCTGCCTGGCAGCCGCTGGTCATACTTCATGGGAGAAGGTGTGGATTGTGGAGTGAGTCAAAATTGTTTAAAATGCCTCACAAAGTTTAGGTCATCAAGCGCGAGTTGAATTCCACTATATTGTTTGTGACAAGGAACATGGTTACTGTTTTAGACGACTATGGTGGTGGTTAACAGGCAGGAGGAGTCAAAGAGATAAAGCCATATTCATATTTCAGTTCGATTCTTTATTCAGTATGTACTATAGATTACATTCTCCCAAGTAGAGTTGTCTTCCAGTAAAATGGGTGGGGGGGGGTATATTTTACATTATAATTTGTTTGAAAGTTGAACCATTTATCTTTCCAAGCCAATAGAACTAATCAATATGTTAAAAAAACTACATGTTATATCAAACGTTGATAGACACAACTTCTAACAGACAAGTCAATGAATGACCAAGGATAAATTTTACATATGGTGATTAAACATTTGATTAGTGTATAATAATGATCTCGTCGAAATCCTACAAAAGATGGGCACCCATCATCCATAAAATTAGTCACCAAAAGGATAAAGAAAGAGGCATTTTACATCTCTCTCTCTCTCTCTCTCTCTCATTCCAAGTCCATGTAGCTGTTTTATTATTGTTTATATGTGTATCTTGGTCAGTTTTACCTACAGATATATTGATTAGAACATATACAGCTGGTATATACGATTATATTTCAAATAAATTTAGATTTAGATATTTGAATATTTTGATAACTGTTTATTAGTATTTGGTTGTCAAAGCCATATTGTTCTGTCCCCCGGATCAATATTGACTTTCAGATTTATATTTGTTTGGGGTTGTTTTATATATGTTAAATGTGTCTTATTTTTATACAATTTGAAGCTATTATATGAGTTACATATATGCACATCTTGTTTACAGTGGTGAGCTTATAACAATTATTTTTAAGAAATTTTGAATGTTTATATCTTTAGGAAGATTAAAAATGTATTCCTCTGAGCAGACGCCAAATTTCTACTGGGTATATTTCTCAAAGATAAATATATCATGGTTCGTTATGAAGCTTTACAAGTTGTCCATTGAATTTAAGAATTTAAAAAATAGTTTTAGCCAAATGCACCTAAGCTTTGTAAGGGGTGTCGAAAGTGTAAAAGCAGTTTTGAGCAATACACTGATCCCTAAACCCAGAGGTCAGGGTTTGATCGCAGTTTGTCTCCCTTTGTCAGTGGTGCTGGATGGAGGGCCTGGCAAGGAAAAGTGCCTATTCATTTGGATGGAACGAAATGCCCCTGTCTGAGGAAAATTTCCATTATGGCACACTGCAGGGCGTATGTCAGTCTTTAGCTCTTTCGCTCCCTAGACAACCGATGGCTAGAAACTGAACTGTAGCATCAAAACAGTTTAAAAAGCACTTGCAGACTTACATAGCTTTTTTAAAAAATGCAGCTGGTTTACTTGTGGCAGCTACTAATTAACCTCACAGAGGCACCATAACAAAATCTCCCCCCCCCCCCTCCCACCCCTTTGCTTCAACCTTCCAGATTTTGTCTTTATTGATTGAAAACAATATCATCACAGGTCTAAGTTGAGTATTTAGATTTGTGCTTAATGAGATAATAATATTATCTTAATTATGTCATATACATTTTAATGACATAGAAAAAAATGATGATACATATAATTAAAGGTCATACTGTTTGAATCCTGGTTTCTTGTATATTAAAATAACAAGGAATCTGTATATGTTTATGTTTTATTAGATGATGATATTTACGTTCATCAAGGAAAGTTCCCTGTTATATACATAACAGTTCCCTGTTATAAAGTTATTCATATCAGTTCCCTGTTATATACATAACAGTTCCCTGTTATAACATTATCATATCAATTCCCTGTTATAAGGTTATTCATATCAGTTCCCTGTTATAAAGTTATTGATATCAGTTCCCTGTTATATACATAACAGTTCCCTGTTATAACATTATCATATCAATTCCCTGTTATAAGGTTATTCATATCAGTTCCCTGTTATAAAGTTCACATAACAGTACCCTGTTATAACATTATCATAACAGCACCCTGTTTTAAAGTTATACATAACAGTTCCATGTTATAAAGTAATCAAAACAATCCATGATCATCAATCAGTTTTATGATGGTTAATCATTTATTCCATATTTAGGATTTTACGGATTTTATGGAAAATTGTAGAAGCAAGAGATTTAGCTCTCAATAGAAAATGTGAACCAAAATTACCAAATCTCATTAACTTCACAAATTTGTATAAAAAAACTATCATTCTTCACCTTAAGTTATTTTAATGTTTTATGGAAAAGAGTTGTTGCATTCAGAGTTACTCAAGCATGTCATTTCCAAATTTGTCTTATTTAATTTCAGAGGTTGCAGAAATTATTACAGACACCACCTGACTGGGGACCAAGACGACACTGGGACGAGGATGAGCAGGGCACAGAGTTACCGGAATATGTAATTTGTAGTCCCGATGTATATCATCCAGCCAATGCTTTAGCTTTATTAACAGCCAATCTTTATCTGCCAAATATATCAGACATTATTACTATAGATGTAAGTACTTTTCAATTCAAGTTTGTATTTGGGATACTTCTCATGTATTATGAAAAGTTTATCTTGATATTCTAATGGAAAATTAAGTGCAGGAGAGCACTATGTATAACAATAAACTAGAAACTTAGATAACAAACACATGGACAAAAAAAACCCACAGACATTGTAAGACATGAATTAAGTGAATGGATCGTGGTCTTAAGCGACCACTGTTCTAGATCTGTACAGTCACAGGTCTGTAATGTCACAGACTTTAATTAATTTGTGAGTCAAAAATTACTTAAAACAAAGTACAGTGTTGATTTGAATTTAATTTGGTTCATGTATTTTTATTCTCCATATTTTCCAGTAATTTTATTAAACAGCTTTCACTGATGTATTTTGAGTTTAAACTGTTTTTTTACACCCAAAAAGTGTATTTGATAAATTTCGACAATGTATTGTTTGTCCATCTACAGTCGTCATTGTCTGACAGACATAAATTAATTGTGTCTCCATTGTGTCAGAAGAATGATTGTTTTTAAGTTGTTTTACACTTAAATGATGTTGGTTTTCATGCATTGACTTATTTAAAAATATTAAGCTGCATCAATCAATCATTTGAAAGCAATAACTGTCATCAAAAATAGTTACACCTCATATAAAACCGTGTTTTAGAGGTGTGTAATTGTGTCAGGGGAGATAACCCATCGCTATATTCTTCATTGAATATAAGTACTTGCCTTCTTTGATCAATTCAGATTGATTTTTTCTGTGTTTCAATTTATTTCAATGATGTATATTTATTTTTTCTTGGGGTGACATATTTTAAGTTGTACAGGTTTTTAAGTTGTAAGAAGGTGGTTAAGTAGATTTTGTTCTTCCACCTATCCTTCAATCCCTATCATTTCACAATGAATTTGAAATTCAGTTTGAAATAATTATTACTATACAGATGAAAGGTGGTATATTATAAAGAAATCTAAATTTTGAAAGAAATTTGATGATATTTGAGTCAGTGACGTACCTAGACTAAAGTTTGAATGAAATTTGATGATATTTGATTCAGTAACGTACCTAGACTAAAGTTTGAATGGAATTTGATGATATTTGAGTCATTCAAGGCGTGACATACTAAAACTAAAGTTAGAATGAAATTTGTTAATATTTGAGTCTGTGATAGCGTGACATACCTGAACTAAAATTATAATGAAATTCGATGATATTTGAGGTACCAGTGATGTAAGTACACAAAAGTTGGAATGAAATTTGTTGATACTTGAGTCAGTGCGTATCTATAGTTTGTGTTTTTGTCCCTTTAAAAAAAACAATCACATCAAACATACTTTCCACCAATAAGAAGTGATTCTGGGGAAAAAAAGAATTGTGTCAGGCATGTATATCTTTCTCAATAGAAATTTGTTTAGTTTTTTTTTCAATGCTGTAGACCAAAGTTGGCATCACCACTCACTGATTTTGGGTGTTTGATGATGTATCATGCATAGCTGTAATACATACCTGTTGTGATTCTCAAGTACAATATTTTTAAATTAGTTAACACCTGTATGAATGTACAGGTGATTAAAAATGCAGTACAAGCCTGCTATTATAAATGAAATAAATTTAGGGTGTTGTCACTTTTGTGCACTATTTTGCTGCACACTCACACATATATTTCTTGGAGGTTTTTTAAATGAAAGAAGACTTTGTTTGGTAAGATATATATCAAGGCCTGGTTTAAGTCTATCGTGTGACCACTTCTGTTCGCAACATGAATGTTGATCGTAGATCCTCAGAACTCCCCTGTTAATTTATCACGCACTGATTATCTTTTATTTTGACTGTTAAGTTTTAATTATCTCTTATTATGTGGTTTTAAAGGCCTTATTATTGTTATCATGGTTGCTTGAAATTATCACTTCAATGGTTTCTTATTGTTAATTAGCTTGGTGTGAGCTAAAATATGTATAAATAGACTGACTGGATGACCTGGCGCCTGGTACGTTCGGGCATTTTTATGCGCGAACTCTTAGGGTTTTTTTACTGGCATGCGCACAGGTACTATTTCTTTTTCTTTTAACAAGTACCCAAATCGGGGATTTCGTGCGGAGGTAGTTCGGAGGTAAGCAGTCTGTGAAGTACAACACTTGCCACTGTACTACCTGTGTATCGCTAATTATAAACCGAATGTGTGAAGACAGTTCATACATATCACTCAAAAATTTTTCAGTACAAACTCAGTTGATTCACGCTCGATTTGCTACTAAACAAACCCACAATATATATTTCACGGCTACGTTGCGACGGTACCAGCATACCCAGTTGTTGACACCCATTACATCACTCCTGTCTAACAAATCATAAAGCTGTGGTGTTACGGTGGCGGCATAGTATTTCACCGTAACACCACAGCCACTCTAACCATTCATAATACATCTAACTATCCCTTTACAGCACTTCAATCCCTACACATTTCCCCTCGTCCTACTTTCCCAAACGTCAACAACACATCTCATACATCCAGTTCGCTGATTAACCCTTGTACCACGTCTACTGGATGTATGGTTGTCTTGTCTGTGATATCACCCTAGGTGGAAATATACGTAAAACCTCAGGAACGAACAAACGTATGTTTGTCATTAACTTGCATGTGTTACGAAACGTCGTTATTAAATAACAGAGAAGTAGTTTTATCCATATATATCTGTATGTTGTGTTTAGTTATGAATGAATGATTCTGTTTATGACTGAATTTTTTTTGAGTTTTTAACCTGTAAGATTTTGAATGACAAATTTAGTGAGAATTTCACTTGTGGGTTCATCTAGAAATGCACAACAGAAATTACTTTAGGTTTGTTTTTTTTAGTAATTTTTTTTCTCTCAAAAATATGTAAAATATTGTCCTTTTCAAAATAAGTAAAGTATTGTCCTTTTCAAAATAAGTTAAAATTTGTGTTTTCAAAAATAAGCCTTGCTAAGCAAAACCAATATGATGTTTATAACCCAAAGATCTGGGTTCTTTTCAAATTTCGCACATATCGGATCATAACTTCCTAAATTATGGCCCTTGATTGTATGAAAAATCACGTTTTTAGTTTGTGGTCACTCTAGAGGTAACCATTTTTATCCGATTTAAAAAAACGTTTGAATATATCACCGTTACACACTAATGATGGTTGAGTTTGAATTTCGTGAAAATCGGACCAAAACTGCTGGACAAAATGCAAATAGTGTATATATGGTATATCAAGGTTGTAGACCTTCTAGAAGTCACAATTTTGAGCCGATTTTGATGAAACTTTAAATATACCTTTAAAATCAAAAGATTTTGTTTCCTGTCGATATTCGTGCATATCGGATTGTAACTTCCTGAATGATGGTCCTTGATTGTGTAGCAGGAGGATCGCATAATCGACTCCAGGTCGGGGTTGCACATAACAGTTGAGACCAGTTAACAACAGTTTATTACAGGACAATATAATATTTACAGAACAACAAAAAAACCACCTAAGACAGGTGCTTTCCAGGAAAATAAATGTGACCATAGAGTTGTAAACTTTATAGACAACACAATTAGGAACACTTGAAACAAATGATTAATTGTGCTGTAATTAAGTAGAGATGTTGATAGTTGACCAGAAAATAAAAGAGTGAAGTTAGTAACCAGGATAAACAAAGCAGGTTTCTAAGACACTTAAATCTACTCACTATCTTACAATAGCATCTTTAAACTAAAGTAATTATAACTACTGGAAATACAAGGCTAGCTGGATAAACAGGACAATGGAAACTGACTAAAATCTTTAAACAGAATATAACACCCTACTAAAATAGTTAAAGAGAATATAGCACCCTACTACAATTGCATGAAAAATCGCTTTTTGTTTTAGCTTGTCTTCTATCTATCTCTTGCGAAATGTGGCTGTATCCTGCCTGGCAGCAGCTGGTTCATCTACAATTAAACTTAAAGAAGGACATTCTGATAAAAGGGTCTTAAAAATCTGATTGGTAAATATGAAAATTAAGTAAAATCAATCTGAGATAAAAGTAAAACATAATTACAGCAAATAGTTTGAAATATACAATTTCTTGCTCAAAATTGATCTCTATGTGAAGTTAGTGGCTTTGTTAATAGTTGGTCAATATTAGAGGTTATATTGGCATGGTTCATCATTTGTCAGATCTGTAGAGTGTTGGGCTAACATTAGGAAATGTTTGAATATAATTCGGACTAAAAGCAAAAATATCGACCAATAAGACTAGTAAATATGTTTTGGGGCTTACTTTAATGAATCATTCGGTATGATAGTTTGCTTGACGTAAGATAGACCTTTAAAATCAATACAATAACAAAAGTAAAAATTCATTTGTCAACACATGTAAAAGTCATTGTTGAAGAATGCACATTTTGTGTTACAGGTATATTTTTAGATTCATGTCACAAAAAAAAAGTCTCATTGCAGAATAAATGTTTAAGTTACAATGAAAATTTTGAAAAGTAAAATAGAGTAATTACCTATAGCAAGTATTGTTATATGTTAAAGAGCTAAATCCCTAATATTTGGGACCTAGAAATTGACACAAATGGGTCACAACGTATATAATAATGTAATATGAATGTATATAAATTGATTTACATTCGATCGTTTCTGTTTTTACTCTAATTTCAAATCAGTTATGTTCGGTCAAATACGCCAGAAGTTTCAATCGAATGGCAATCTCTAGCATCCGGTTATTCCAGTGTACGCCAATAGTATTTATTGCGCGTGCTCTCCAGATAAGAATATGCCGTCACTGTTTGACATGACTTGTGGAATATGTCTAGCCTCGTTTTTCGAGTCCCTTGTTACAAATAGCATTGAAACGCATTATGGTACACGATTCGTGTACCAATAGTAAAGTGTTTATTTTGTCTTAAATATGGGATATCAGAAACCCATCTTTACCCGGTAAGATCACAACATCAATGTTGATTTAAATTGACAAATAATTTGTGTTTTCAATGTCAAAGACTTTGGATGATATTGAATTAGTGACTTCGCTACTTTAAAGGTAAATATTTTTTCCATTGATGAATAATTTCAATATGTATTCCGGTTTATGGACTATATCCGTAATTGTGTAAAGCCAATAAGTGATATTTAATAACAGGAAATAAAAACTTGACATATGAATTTTTGACAGAAAAACTACAACAAATTTTTGTTAGCTATGTGAAATACTCAAACGAGAAATGGTATCTAGTGTTCTAGAAAGAGCCAGCATACCCTGTCTTGTATGACACCTGCCACTGCTACGCTCGAGGACTATATGCCACCAAAAGTCACCAGTCCAGTGGATTAAGTTACAATGAAAATTTATTGTCGATGTTATCTCAAATGAGAAGTGGTATCAGATGTTCTGAAAAGAGGACGCACAAGCATGACAAGTGCAAATATACTTTTAGCTCAATTATTCATGGATCTATCCGGTATCTAGCATGATTCAGCCAAACTTCTTGATATCACTTGTTTTGTAGGATTCTTTTCAATTTGCAGGGATGCTTCATGTGGTCATAAGGAGTAATTCTACCAAATTTTTAATTTTTCAATTACACAAAATTATGTTCATAAAATTATGTTCATAAATCTATGTTCATAAAATTATGTTCATAAAATTATAAAATTATGTTCATAAAATTATAAAATTATGTTCATAAAATTATAAAATTATGTTCATAAAATTATGTTCATAAAATTATAAAATTATGTTCATAAAATTATAAAATTATGTTCATAAAATTATGTTCATAAAATTATGTTCATAAAATTATGTTTGGACTTACAAAATCACATGGACGTGATAGGACTGAACTATTCATAGAATTTTTGAAAATCTGATGGAATTGTTCATAAGGGTATAAGTAAGAACCAAATTGATTTACGAAATTTCAAATTTCCAGTCATAAATTATTCTCTTTGTTTATATTCAAATTTGTGAAATCGTGTTTACACAATTCAGAAAAGAGTTCTTTATTCATTACTTTAAAACTTGGTTAATTTGTTCATAAGAGCATGAGGTAGAACCGAATCAATTTTCAAAGATTTCAGATAAGTTATTTCCATCTTTATCTCCATTCAGATTTGGACATTTAGAGATTAAAAAAGCAGTACAAGTTCTAACTGGAATTTTTTAATATTTACTGGGATTTTTAAAATCTTGATCAGCAGGATTTCTTGACATTGATTTTACCTCTGGTGCACTTATAATTGGGCCTGACATGCTCCAGTCTTTGTTGAACTTTTAAAATGGATTGGATTTGTGAGTTTCTCTCATTTCCCACCCAGTCCGACAGTGAAATTTATTAGTGGCATTCATGATAAAAACTGCTGTGTAAATGAGAAACTGATGTGGGAGTTCTGTACTGCTAACATCTCTAAACATCACAAAGATTTGAACTATGCTAAAAGGTCAAATTATGACAATAACATTGTGCAGAAATTATTTTATACTTTCATTTCAAATAGGGTGTAGCCTAATAATCTCTATTTCTTTCCGAATTAAATTAGACATGTTTTAGATTATGATTTGTTCTTGTTCTTCAACAGTATACTTTTTGTTCTTCAACAGTATATTTTCTTGTTCGTCAACAGTATATTTTCTTGTTCGTCAACAGTATATTTTCTTGTTTTGAATAATTTGTTTTTGCATGTTATTTAATGACAAACAGTTAGTGTGTGTCATCACATACATCACAAATAATGTGTTACTCTGAACGTCACCAGAATATATCTGTCTTATTTTTATGTCTTGTCTAGTTACAGTGTAGGAAGAAATAGTTAATCAATTAAAATATAAATTTCTTCCATAAAATAGCTTGAGGCAGGTGACTTTCTTACTTGATGTAAAAACTGATTTCATAATGAGTTTTGTAAATCATTCTCTGGCATTACAAAGCTAATAGCGAGGTAGATGGTGGCATTATACAGAGCTAGTATTAGTTGGTGGCATTACAGAGAGCCATTATTAGTTGGTGGCATTACAGAGAGCCATTATTAGTTGGTGGCATTACAGAGCTATTATTAGTTGGTGGCATTACAGAGAGCCATTATTTGTTGGTGGCATTACACAGAGCTATTATTAGTTGGTGGCATTTAATGTAATTTCAATATACAATCACACCAGGAATATTAAGATAAATGAATTTGAGAAAAGTCTGCCATGCCATCATTGAGATATACACATTGTTACTTTCAATTTAGGAATTATATAATTTTAAAATGGTTTCCAGGAATCATGGTGGGTCAGTGTTTGGATTTTCAATAATTAGGTGACTCTAAAGTTATTTAAAGATGTTATGATTAACATTAGTTTTATTTTCTTGCTGAGAGATATCGGTATCCCTTAAAAACATTCAACTTGTACTCTATAAAACATATCAAAAATTAATCACTGATTCTTGATTTCCTTTCTTAATTAGTTTATAAAAATAATGTTTGTAGTTGCTGGTGATCATTTTTAATTAGAATAAATTAAAAGGGTTCTGTCATACTTGTAATGGTGTTAGAAAAATCATATTACCATTACAGCGAATCATAGATTATATTAATACATTCAAACTATATATATATATATACCTGTGTGCACTAATAATAAGACTACGAAGCGTGAAATCCAGTTATTATTTATAACTTTGTTGTGTTGTACAAAGGTCCCAATAATCTTGTGATATATAATATTTTATATACAGACAATAAAGTACCACATACATGTATATTTGTATATTAGAATAAACTGGATGATCTGGTATTTCTGTTTTAATTTTCTTGACACCTCAAGTCTCAAAATGACTATGGCAATTTATTATATGTTCAGATAATTACACCCATTACACCCATTAGCTATTTTGTGTTAGAATCTCTCTAGCCTAAAAATTGTTGCAGAATTGACAAGAGTACAAGGTGATTCTCAATAGTATTTTCTATTTTCTCTAAGAATGATTCACAAGTGGATGTGGTAAAAAATAATTTTGGAAAAAATATGTGAGATAGAAGTGAATTTATATTGTGTTGTTAAGCAGTGAATAATGTGTTTTATTGTGTAAAACTATCTAGCATGCTTTTGAAGAATATCTTGTCATTCTTGATGTGTTTTTTATTAAAGAGAAAAGATGGATGGGTTCAAGCTGATGAATTTATGTCTGCATAAATTTACACGTAATGGTACACATAACAGTATTTTAGTCCAAGTACACAAATTCAACAGTGTAAATGTATTGGTTCATGTGTTGCTTGCTAGTGAAATTTGGAAAGAATAAGAACTAAATGTTTAATTTGTTTGATTTTGACTGGAGGATTAGTTCTAAGATAGAATGAAAAGGATAGTTTTATATTTGGAAAAGGATAGGACATTCCAAGAGATTTAATCTTTCATAATGGACTTTTTCTGTTCTCATTGTAGACGGACATTGTGATATATTGGTCGGACATGATTTATTTTATTCATGAACAAATCAAGCACTTAATTTGGGGCGACTTGTTGGAAGCCAATTACGTAATGAAATTCTGAACGTGTTTACTTCTTCAACACCTTTCTGTCAACAGATACGAGTTTTGACGTCTGTTTTGAGAACCCAAGAGAAAAGATAACACAAGTTTATTGGATTTAGATATTGTAGATTTCATTTGAATGTGACAAGTTGAACGTAGGATGAAAGGAATTGCAGCAGATTATTGGCTATTTTTAGGACAATTGTTTTGAGTGGTTTGGTAGTTTGACATGTGAGATGACATCATCTTAAATTACTTGTGATATCAAGACATTGTTTTAGTGTTGACTTTAATTTCATCTTGAAAATATTTTTCTGTGATGTATAAGATATATAACCAGTTCATTTCTTATTTTGATGAAGAATTGAGATGGGGGATCATTGTAATTGTCACATCCTATAGATGAATAATTCGACTTATAAATATTTGAAACTCGGGGAATACTAACTGAAGAAATCCAATACCCTCTTGCATGCATCATAGCAGAAGAATTAGCTGTCGTATTCAAAACCATTTTTGCTTGATCAGAATGAAATAATGATTCTTTGTTTTTATGTGTTCTCTTTATCCTATATATAAGCAGACGTGTTAAGGAACATGATTGTAGTGTAACGAGAGAACCGTTTGGTAGACTTGTTTGTTCGTATTTACAAAGTGCAACTAAAGAAATTGACATGTGAACGCTGATTAATGATCATGTAATACTTCAACCGAAAGTTAAATGTGACAAGTAGGCTGTTATTAACCAATTATAAGCTTCAAACAAGGAAAAAGAAAATTCAAAATGGATGCCTTGAATCTTTTACAGCAACAGCGCAGGGATTCGGATACTATGGTTGGATATCTGTCAGATTTGACCCTGTCGAGTTCTGATGATGATTCCAGTGATGAAGAAAACAAACTCCGTGGAAATTGGAGTAACCGTTTGGATTTTGTTCTATCGTGTTTAGGATATATTGTTGGATTAGGAAATGTATGGAGATTTCCATATTTGGTTTACAGAAATGGTGGAGGTAAGCATGTATATCTCTAATTCTTTACTTTTTTGTCTAATTGATTATTGTGAAAAAAATTCTTTCTAATCAAAGTACAGACGATCCAAAATGTCTTTAAGATTTTAAACAGTAGTCTGTTTACCAAAAGCAATACTCAAATTTATGATTCTATGTAGTAGAGATGGCAATTTTTATTAATATTTGGTTTGTTGTTATTTTTTTCAATTCTAAACAGGAGCATTTTTCATCCCGTATCTAATAATGTTATTATTTTGTGGTATACCTCTGGTCTATATGGAACTAGCCTTTGGTCAATATGCAAGTTTAGGACCAATAACAATATGGAAAGCTGTTCCATTATTTAAAGGTAAGAAGATTTACAATGTTAGTATATGTTAAACCAGGGCTTATATTTCGGTAATGTGTACCTGTCAAGGTGAAGTTGATCAAATGAGGAATGCACCTGTCAGTCAATGTACATTATTTAAAATCAGTTATTATTAAAAATTACACATCAAAGGATCATCTATACAACTGATCGATTTCAGAATCTGATCCCAAAAATTTCACAATTAACTATCAAGCCTTGCCCTATCCCTAACCCTTGTTACTCTGATGTGTTATACTGAATGCAGGTGAAGTCAAGCCAAAAAAATCATATATTTGAAAAGTCCTGGGCTATACTTTCAGCTACATCATAGTTATTCTGATATTAATGAAATTTTATTCAGAATTTTACAAGGTTTGTTTATATTGACTAAATGAAAATACCAGGTAGTTATCAGTATTTATGTATTGTCAAAAATATTCCTGCATCAGTTTACTTTGCCTCTGTAATTGTAACTGATTTTAAGAGTTAATTAAAGAAGATTGTTGCCTTTTTTCCATTTGTCCAATTTCAATCTCTAAAAAACTTCATTTTGCAATCTTTGGGGATAAAGCTATTTTGCAACCCACGTTTTATTAAATCCAGACTTCGATTTCTCTGGTTATCAGGATCTACCATACCATTTAGATAATTGAATTTGCCGTTGATTTAGATTACGTGAACACAGTGGGATGGTTTTCTCTGCGTAATTTATTTGATTTTTTCATGATTACCATGAAATGTCTGATAGACAGACTCTTGATCCCCCACAAAAAGAAATCATCAAATATTTATTTTCTATAATTCATATATTTTGATCATCACAAAAATTAAAAGACCCTGGTGAGATCAGTGCCATCACCCATCTTTGGACATCAAGCAAAATAATTTGGCTCACGAAGACTTTACTAAGAAAAATAGTTACTACAGATTTTAATCAAAATAAGTGGCTTATTTTACAAATAATAATTTTACCACTACGCACAAGCGAATTATTGAAATAAAATTAAACCATATGTTAGTTCTGAAATGACCTAGTTTGTGTCAAGTGATCATTAAACCCCATTATTATGGCTACTGAGCTGGTGTAATTATGATGTCCACAAACTATTGATAGATAGTTTTTAAAATTACAAAAACAGGGATATCTATCAAAAAAATTGATATCCCAGTGTTATAAATTGATGCTGTCTTCATTATCCCAGTTAGAGCAGAACAGTAGGGTATTAAACTACATTTCATAAATTGATGATATTAAACTAAACCAAACCATCCTACTTATATTCTAACTTTTAAGATGCATTACGTAAGATTAGATAACAGAGCTGGCTGTTACAATTTGATTAAGCAACTTTTATTGATGTATTTTAGTTTTAAAAAGTTAATTTTAACACACAAAAAGTGTAAACTTCTTTGATAACTTACAATGTATTGTTTGTCCATCTACAGTCATCATTGTTTCACAGTCATAAAATAATTATGTCTCCACTGCTTCACAAGAATTATTTTTTTAGACTTTTTTTTCACTTAAAGATGCATTATGAGAAATTTAGTTAATTTGCTCTAATAGTTCAAAAATGGATAATGAAAAATTGAATATATTGAAAATTTCAGTCAAAATACAGAATTCTGAGCAAAGTTATGAGTGTTTGTAGTTTTGACAAGATAGTCTCGATTGTCAAGTACCATTGCTGTGATAATAAACAAAGATTCTATTATCTATTTTAAAGTTAATTTATTAAAAATGGTGGATGTTCTAATACATTCAGTCTATGACATCTGATGGTCAAGAGAGTTGATTATGGGATTGTCATGTGAACAAATGTCTAGATAATCATTTATATAACATTGGAAGTCAGAAAAAAGACCTGCAATAGGCGGATTCAGCTCTTGCATAATGAATCTTTATGGAAACTTGGAAGTGAATAAATAAAAAGGGAACAGTCAGCTCCTCCTACAGATTTTTCTTTCAAATGGTTTACAGTAATACACATAGAGCGAACAAAAAGTAAAATTATAACATGATCTATAACACTATATTTATCTTTGAAGTCATATTTTTAATTTCATGTTTCTCATGTAGAAATAATGTGAGAAAATATGTCTAATGAAGGGGTAATTCAAGCAGATAATATGTACTTCAAATTTCTTGTAACTTGTAACACAATTTTGCCTGGGGGAAAGTCTGAAACTGATGACATTTCTTTCTTCAATATTGGTGCAATTCTTTGAATAAATGTAGTCAGTTACCCAAGAAACCATGTTGAATATTGCAAATTTCACAATTTTGAACTATTTCTGTCAAAATCTTGGACCCTTTAAATAATAGTGTAGCCCATAGAGGAGCTAAATATCTCAAATTTGGGTCAAAATGAGGTGTCGAATTTGATTGATCTATCTAAAGCGTTATTTTGACTAGTGATTGTGCAAGCTCAATGATCAAATTTAGATATCAAAAAACAAAATCAAGCAATATTTATTAACCTATATTTAGTTTCATTTTTGACTGTTGAACACACCATCTGCATAGTTAATAAAATAACAAATAAACCCAACATACATCCAACATTGCAAATATTATATAACTAAATGTACTGCAATTAAGATTTGTTTAGTTATGAACATTAGATTTTTTTAAAAGACCTGTAACTAACTAACTAATAGTTATGATCTCAATAAAATTGATCTCTGTAGTTATGATCTCAATCAGATTGATCTCTGTAGTTATGATCTCAATCCGATTGATCTCTGTAGTTATGATCTCAATCAGTTTGATCTCTGTAGTTATGATCTCAATCAAATTGGTCCCTGTGGTTATGATCTCAATCAGATTGATCCCTGTGGTTATGATCTCAATCCGATTGATCCCTGTGGTTATGATTTCAATCAGTTTGATCTCTGTAGTTATGATCTCAATCAAATTGGTCCCTGTGGTTATGATCTCAATCAGTTTGATCTCTGTGGTTATGATCTCAATCTGATTGATCTCTGTGGTTATGATCTCAATCAGTTTGATCTCTGTAGTTATGATCTCAATCAAATTGGTCCCTGTGGTCATGATCTCAATCAGATTGATCTCTGTGGTTATGATCTCATCCAGATTGTTTTTTTATGATTTAGTAATATATAGGTGTATATAGTAATAATTATATCTAATTTTTTTCATGATTGAAGGTATTGGATATGCTATGGTAGTGGTGTCTATGTTTGTAGCTGTATATTATAATATGGTGAATGCTTGGGCAGCGTATTATTTATTTACGTCTATGACATCTGTTCTACCCTGGCAGTCTTGTAACAATACTTGGAATACTGACAGTAAGTAATCTTTTTTCATTTTATTGTATATGTATTTTTGGCATCTAGATGATATTTAATCTTTTAAAGGGAATTTGTGATCAAAGATCATGCCAGTTCAAAGAATTGATTAAATCATAATTACAATAAATGTCAAACATTTTTTGATACAGTATCAGGAAACTTTTCCTGTTTATTTAAAGTAATAAATGATACAGTACTGTTTGAGTGTTCTCATCCCTTAATATCCTAAAATGTGGTGAAATTTTGTTATGGATCTATGAAATAGATTCTATATACTTTTTAAAAATGGGTATATATTAACATCACTGCACACTAACAAAACTAAGTTCGTGTTTAATGAAATGTACCCTAACTAGTTCTACAGCCATTTGAACAGAACATCAATGATGCAGTGTTATGACTATAAATTAAGCTTTTTCCATTGTTTAGATTTATTCCTAATAAATCACCATGTTGTTTATTTAACCCGGTTCAATTTCAAAATAATCAGATATCATTGATTGTGCTCAGCTATATTTTTTGTTGTTGTTCCAGTCTCAACTTGGTATATACGTAATTTTGTATTCCACTTAATTTTTTCACAAAATTTAATCTAATGCTCTTCTTCGCTAGACAATTTCACAGCCAGATATGGAATATATTGTCCGACTTATCAGTTAAATTAGTGTAGATTTTTGTTTCTTACTGTATTAACTGTGAATATGTACATGAACAAAAATAAAAAATGAATAATACCAGAACAAAATAAAGATCAAATGTTAATTAAATTATATTTGGAGCTAAGAAATATAGATTTTATTCAGTCTAGAAAATTCATTTATAAATTAAAGAATTTTCTGTTTTGCTTATTAATGTTTAATTGTAGCACAAATTAGAAATTTCCCCGATTCTAATGTTTAATTGTCATCTATTATTTATTCATATACAATATAAATAAATTTATCTCTTGGTTTATAATCAATAAATTGTATGCTTGATTGAAACTCTTCAATCCAAAATTTCAGCTCAATTTAATATAGAATACAAATTTTTCTTTAATTAGAATTTCTTCAATGACTAATAAGTGGGAGAGAGAGAAATGGGGTTTAATGTTCACTCAACACAAACTAGGTAATTTCGAGACTAATGGTTCAATTTTAATTCAAAAATTCGCGTACGCGTAGGAGTCTTTAGCAGTGGGAGGAAACCAGGGCACCCAGAGAAAACCCACGAGGTTGGACAGGCGACCCTACTCCTTGTCATGTACGACCGGGGAATAGAAACCACGCCAGTTGACTCAATGACAGACCTAATGATGCAACACGCACACGCCAACCATTCGACACACACCCCCATGAATGGAAGGTGGATTAACATCTCTTTAATACTTTACTTAGATCATTTCTCAGACTGACATTACAGTAATATTTATTTATATTTTGCCTGGGCAGAGGTGTTTCTGTTAGCTCTTCTTTGAATTCCAACTGTCAAGGGATCTTTTACATGTACTACTAATTGACCCACCTTCCCTTGTCAGCTCTGTAGAAACTCCCACTTGAAAAAGTGTGAAGACTTTTGTCATAAAAAGCTGCAATTCCAGTTTAAGGTCTTATCCATCACAACCCCATTGATTTGTTCCTTCTCTTTATTTCATTTTTAAGATTATAATTAAGTATTTTTTATGAGATAGCTAAGTACTATATGAAACAAACCAATAAATAGTCATTGTTATATGAACAATCATTAAGTGAAACAATTATTAGAAAGGAAGGATATTAAATACTAGACATCATTTGTACCCGTAATTTGAAGACACAATTGTCATGACATGGTTAAATTCACATAAATAAGAAATGAAATGAAATGAAATGGGGCTTAACGTCCTACTACATAAATAAGAATAATAAAATGTTTTTTAATGTATATAAAAAGAGTAAATACAACTTCATATTTATGTATTTCTTCCCCGGCATTCCTTCTCATAAACTAAAACATAACAAAAGATTTACTGAAAATAAAGTGTCTTGATTGATGTTTACAAAATTAAAACATACATATATATATACAGCAGATAGTCTGTTAAAATAAATTATAAACAGAATTACTGCCCCTGTCAAAAGTTTATAATCCCTCTACAGGTCAAAGGCTTTTCTTAAGAACTGAAATCCTTTATTTTTTGGATGAATATTATTAGTCGTAGCTAATACCAATATAAATGACTTGAATAGAATATTAAATATCTATGAATTATGTATAAGTTATATATAATAAAGCTGTTGTATAAGAAATATGGTCTCATATTATATATCTAGCTGATGTTGTCAGCTTTATAACCATGTGACTGACACTGATTGATAAATACAGGATATAAAGACAATTATTCGACATAGGTATGTCATGAAAAAATAATACATTAGGAAGGTCATTTCTGACTTAAGTCAGGAAGTTATATATATGTTAGTCCTGATATGACCCTGTTAGTAGTGAGTGGATGTAAAACCCAATGTCTGTCCACCGATCCATGTATAGCAGTATTGAATAATTATAGTACCCTTTTTGTTATACACTCACATTGAATTTGTACTTCTATACTGTCATGTCCTGCTTCCATCATCCATTCATCCATCCAGAGCCTCGGTGACTCATGGGGGTCTGGCCATGGGATTTAATGTTCTACTTGTCTGCTCCATACTTGAACAAGGAAAGTCAAAATTATAGTACAGTATACTATAAATATATGTCATACTGGCTCGGGTGGGGGGGGGGGGGGTAAGAGGGGAAAGTGTTTTAATGTCCATACGACATGTCCATACGGGGTTTTTAGCAGTGGGAAGTAACCAAGAACCTGTGGAAAGCCCACAAAGTTGGACAGGCAACCCTATTCCTTGTCACGTATAAGCGGACGTTTTGAAATCACTCCACTTGACTCAGTGACAGACCTTATAATGATCTTAAGTGTACATGTGTTAAACCATTTGTGTGCCCCCCTCCCCTTCTTTCTCATCGGTTAGAGGTAGTCATTTAATTTAGATTTACATTAGCTGATGTCTGATTTAGTCTGTTTGTACCTTTATTAGAGATACGAGCATACTTCATCAGAAACTGAGCATGACGTCATCACAGCCATCTTGGAAATTGATGTCCGTCAATCAATGCACAAATGTCCAATGAACAAGACTTTCAAGTTTCTTATTGATTATACTTGAATTGGCAGAGCCTTGGATTTTTTTCAAAGAGTTTGACCCACAAGAAAAATAACAATAAGACGAGTAGCACTTGGGGCATAGTTCCTTGTCCAAATATAAAATTCAGACCATTGATAGAATGGAGACAGATATTATGTTCTCAGTATAACACAATTTATATTTTAAAATTTTCTATTAGTCAATCTTGCTTTGTTTTTTATTCTTCAGAATGTCATATAAATAAATATGAGGTATCTAACTGTTCAGGTGTAAATCTAACATATGCAGAATCACCTGAATTTGACAGTAATTGTAGTAGTGTATTAACTAACTGTACTCTGTATAATACTACCCAAATAGTACAGTGTATTAAAGAATTACAAGATGCTTTTGGTAATGAAGTTTTAGATCCTAAATTTCTACACCACCATAGAACCAGCCCTAGTGAGGAGTATTTCTAGTAAGTATATCCAGGGAGATTGAAATGAAATCAGTGATAAGACTTCTTATAATTTAGATGACTCTTTCATCCTCTGTTTATGCTTGCATATTGAAATGGGGTCAAATATTGTTGTCACCTTTGTCCATCAGTCTGTCTGTCCACCCCCCACAATGCCTTTTGAACACTACAGAATACATACATCATCCAACGTAGCTATATTTATGAATTTTGTTTACATTAGTGAGACAAGCTTATTTCAGCGAGTTATTGCCCTTGATCACTTTCTACCATGGTGTGATGATAAAGTTTCAATTTTTAACTGATTGTGAATGAGGATGTGTCTTTTCAGTCTGCCAGTAAAATAAATGACCATATATGAGGATTAATTGTCAAAGTAATGATGCATGAGTGCATTTTTGGGAAAATATAAAATATCTCACGGCTTAATCCATGCTAATATGTATTCAAATAACAGTTTGATTATTTAACATTTAATTATGAAAGCAAAATAACCATGCTAGATAATACTAGGAATTTTATAGCGCTAAAATCATGTATAGAGTCTTTCATATGAGATATTCAACTTTTATTTTTGGTTTTCAGTTTATCAGTTTTAGATGTGTCACCAGGTATACATGAATTAGGATCAATAAGATGGCAGCTAGCTCTATGTCTATTGATGTGTTGGACTATTATCTTTATATGTTTAGTAAAAGGTATACAGCTGTCTGGAAAGGTATGTATATGTAGACAATCTATATTTATTAATAAAAGTTGTATTTGCTGTCTGATAATCATATACCAGTTACTATATATAATGCTATAAGTTCTCATACAAAAAAGGCCAATTTTAGAGGACATTTCCTATTGAACTAAGGTGGGATGGGGCACGGTGGTCATGGGACACACAATCAAAATAGACTGGTACAAATGCTGGCGTTGACAGAAGAACATTCAGTAAATTTCTAACTTGGTTCTCACTTGTCCCAGGTAGCACCCTGTTGGACTGTCAAGACATGTGTACCCACTCTGTCAGTTGTTGGTAGTGCATGTAAAAGATCCCTTGGCAGTAGGAATTCTGATGTCCAGGATTATTCTTCATCTCACTTTACACAAATAATCCTAGAAATAAATATTACTGTATGTTAGAATGAACATGACATAAATAACTCATCCCATTCTTACTCAACTATGTTTAGGTATTTCCTGTAATCACTAATTATTTCCAATTTATTTTTCCAGATTTCTTATTTTATGGTTACATTTCCCTACATAATTATTTTAATATTACTGATACGTGGTATGACTATGGATGGTTGTTTAGAAGGTATCAAATACTATGTAACACCAAAATGGGAGTTATTAAGACATCCTCGAGTGTGGGGAGATGCAGCAACACAAGTTTTTTTCTCATTGTCTCTATGTCTCGGTGGTCTCACAACATTAGCCAGTTATAATAAATTTCATAATAATATATACAGGTACGCTTTATTTTACTTACTATAAAAATACATCGTGAAATTAATTTGATGTAAATTCATATTGATATTAATGCGATCTGCCACATAATTTACTTCTTGTACTTTTAAATAAGATACATTACCAGATAATGATATCAGCATTATGTTCCTCTCAAAAACTGGTTATTTTTGCTTAATATAATTAAAATGTCACGTTTTTTATGTCAGATTTAAAATTTGACTTCATTTCATTCTGATTATAAACTTTGTGGGTCTACACAAAGGTCCTTCTTCCATAACCTATCCATTGTTTGCTTTATTTGACATCTTTATTAAGACAATATGATTGACTCAAACCATTCTTTCAAATATAGAGCATGGTTATTGGTGACATGAGAAATCAAAACAAAATATTTAGAGATTGTTAAGACTATACTGTATTAACAACATAAAAAAAGGATATATTTTTTGGTTAAATGATGTATAAGACATTGTGTATGTATTATGATTTCAGAGATGCCATATTGGTATGTTTAGGTGATACATTAATGAGTGTTATGGCAGGTTTTGCTGTGTTTGCTGTTATTGGTGTTTTAGGGAAAAAGTTGGGTACATCTGTAGAAAATGTCATAAAATCAGGTAGGACAGATTATTTGTAAGGTTTTATCATATTCAGATATTAAATGATATATTTTACACCCAATCCTAAAGTGGGAGTGATAATGACATATTGTAGCCAAACTGTTATTTTTTTTTTTTTATCAGTTACCTCCCCTGACACATCTAGAGCTTATTAAATCTTAGAAATTTTCACTTGTTAGTTAAGCAAGAGAAATAAAACTTACATAGAAGTCAAGTCCAGTGCAGAATCATTTAATATCATGTTAAAGAATAGGATAAATATATTTTACAATTACAGTGAATTGTGTTATCATAATGTCTTATGAGGAGTTATTTCCCTTTGTGCACTGATTTTCTATACGGTGTATAAATTCAAACGCCTACACACTGTCACACGCCTCTATTGATCCATTACCAAACGATATGATTGTTATTAAATAAAGGAAAGAATTTCCCACTCAATCATATTTTAAAAATACAGGAAGAGCTTCGGCTCTCCTAGGTCTGATATCATTTATGTGAAAGCAGAAGTTAAAGAACCAAGGTACTACAACTTCTGTCATAAATGTTTGAGCATCATGTCTTAAAAATGTGTGCATGCATACAGAATGTGTGCAGCCAGTCACAACTCAAGTATACAGCTAGTTAGTTGACCTTTTGAAAATAAATTATTTCTTCTTAAAGCAGGGGACTATTACCAATATAATGGGTTTGTCCGTCTGTCTGTCTGTCTTCTATTAATTTACCCAGCTTATAATTGAGGTAGAATTTTAAAACTCTATGGATGGGTATCTGGACTAATAATACATTTTTTCTGATCAGTGTAACTGTCTTTAGCAATATGTATAACTTATTTATTGTTTCTTTTTAAATTGCTATTGTTCGTTGTTGTTTCCGTTTTAACATAGTTTTTTGGGTTTTTTTATAAATATCATTATCTAATAAATATTTTGTCTTCTATATAGATGTGGGTTTAACCTTTATTGTGTATCCAGAAGCCATTCTATCATTTCCAATATCTCCACTGTGGTCCATATTATTTTTTCTAATGATGTTTATGATGGGATTAAGTACATTGTTTACATCAGTAGAGACAATAGTTACAGCTATTATTGATGAGAATATAACTAAATTCCGTAAGAAAAGAGTGCTAGTTTTATTTGTACTCTGTTTGTCTGCCTTTTTACTTGGTCTTCCATTAACAACACAGGTGAGACTCATTTATATTTGATTATTTTTTTACATTCAACTTATTAAACTTCAATTCATCTTTCACAATTGAATAAACAGCTATTTGAAGATTAAAATATAATGAAACTGCAGTGGCTGGCTTTCTACTTTAATAAATAAACAGTCCAGGAAATCTGCACAATTAAATGCACGTGCTCCAAAAACCTAGCTACACTGTACACAAAAACTTAGTCCAAATAATCCGGAACTTACTGTAGGAGATCTCCCTCATATGAGATTGAGAACAGTAGGATTGTATTTATAATGTATGTTTCAGGGTGGTATTTATATATTACAATTAATGGATGAGTTTGTAGCAGGGTTTCCACCTATGATAAATGCTGTATTTATGTGTATAGCTATAGGATGGACGTATGGTGTTAAACAGTTTTGTCAGGATATAATGCATATGATAGGAACACCAGTTAGTTGGTGGTGGAGAATCATGTGGTATGGTGTTAGTCCTAGTATTATTACAGTAAGTCTCCAATATAAAATAAATCTCCATTATATCTTCATTAGATCAGCATCCAGAGGTTAATAAACCTACAATTTGTGGAACAGGAACTAGGCCCTAGGAGGTTATTAAACCTACAATTTGTGGAACAGGAACTAGGTCCTAGGAGGTTATTAAACCTACAATTTGTGGAACAGGAACTAGGTCCTAGGAGGTTATTAAACCTACAATTTGTGGAACAGGAACTAAGCCCAAGGAGGTTACTAAACCTACAATTTGTAGAACAGGAACAAGGCCCCTAGTTGATACTCATCTTGTTATTGGTCTTGTTCTTGGGGGTGACACGCTTTGAAATAAGACTAAGGCCCCATGAATTCAAGTTCATTCAGCATGAAACTTTGCATACTTGTCGCTTGTACAGTTGGGCATCTATTGACAGACCTCCATCTCCCATTTTTAATATGACTTTCCAATACCAAGATGGCAGCAATGACGTTATGCTTAGTTCCAGGCCCATAGTACACTCATACTTGCTTTGTTCAGATCTTATTAAAAGATCTAATTTATTTTTTAGAAGAATCATGTTTATTCATGAATTTAATAATACAACATTAGTATTGACTGTGATTTTGTTTATTTCAGTTTATATTAATATTCTCTGCCGTTGGTTATATTCCACTAAGACGTCAGTTTGATGAGACTAAATACCCTGAATGGGCAGAAGTTGTAGGATTTATTCTAGTTACTATATGTATTATACCAGTATTTGCCTGGATTGTCTATAGATTAGTATCTATAAAAGGTTCTATAATACAGGTATGTACTTAAATATTTTATTTTCAATAATTTGTTTGTTTAATTAGAGAATCTGACATCGAGAAAATATAGAATCAGAATTTCTTTCCCAATTTATATGATTTTCTAATTAACTGATCTGAAATAATGAAAATTTTACCAGTGATACTATATGTATTAGCAGTATATTTATGGATATTGTAACTTAATTTAAGGATTTAACTTCATCTATTATCACAGGGAACTGATTTCATTAGCTTAGTGTTAATCTTTACTAATTTAAAATATTTTTGATGAAAATCCTTTATGCAATAAGACAAGAATTATCTTAACCAATTTATTCATTCCAGAGATTAAAGAAATTGTGTCAACCAGAGACTGATTGGGGACCTGCGTTAGAAAAACATTGGAAGTATGTAGAATATTATCCTGCTGTTCATACCCAGATGTTTCCATCAGAAATGGATAATTCAGCTCTCAATACAATAACAGGTAATTCATTCTAGATTCAAGTATCTAGGGAATACAGGATTGAATTTTGAACAACTGAATTCTCTCATTACCACAAAATGAGGACAATTGAGTAAAGATAAGAGTTTGCGGGCAATCAAATACAATAATATTATACCAGATATGGCTGAAACATACAATTATGATTTGAGTGTTTCATCCAATTTCATATATCTTGTTTCTTTGAGGTAAAAAGTGTGACAAGTTTATGTGATCTCTCCTATAGCGTAATGTGTGACTCCACACGCTTTTAAACATTTTATATGGACTATGGAAATACATGTTTGTCATGATTTGAATAAATATCATCAAAGTTAATAAATAAAGTCTGTGAATGACATCAAGCTGGAGATAGCCATTCTACAACCATAACAGCATTATTGGTAATAATCAACGATGAAATACAAGATTACAAGTTAAATTCCATGAGATTAGTAACTTGTGTATTCTCTGATATGTTCTATATTCTGTTTATTATAGATCATGTTGAGTTTACTACTGTTGGTGTAAGAGTTCCTAGTCTATCACAAGCTAGTTTAATACCTGTATCTCCCAGTCTTCCTAGAACTAAAAAACCATTAGATATGAGACAACAAGCTATATTAAATCATGCCTATAGTAATCCACAGTGTAATCTATCTACCAGTAAGTATATAGTAATACTAATTTTCGGTTGTTCTTATCCTTGCATTTAATCTATCCAACTGTAAGTGTCTAATGAATATAGGATGAAAATGTTGTTGGAAAAAAATTACCTCTCGTGGTATATAAGAACATGACACTGTCACTGTGTCCTGTATACTAATTAAGACCAGTATCATGAATTGTCCCAGGTTTAGTTCAGTTCCACGGCATGGGATGGAGAGAAATTGTATTGGGTAAATATAAGTTCCCTGTTTATGCATGTTGCCTATTTTAAAAAAGTTGTGAAGCTCCAGATACCAGGGTATAGAAATGTTCTTATCATTGGAACTTTCTGCAAGGAAAGTTGTTAAAATTACATTTTACTTTATATGTTTGAAAGGCTAATTCAAATTCTCTTGCTTCTGCAGGTGCTTTAAAAAAAAAATACAGGATTAAATATACATGTTTTATTTATTATTACAGGTTCTATTATAAAATACAGGGCAGTATAATGATGTTTTGTTTATTATTACAGGTTCTATGATATAATACAGGGCAGTATAATGATGTTTTGTTTATTATTACAGGTTCTATGATAAAATACAGGGCTGTATAATGATGTTTTATTTATTATTACAGGTTCTATTATAAAATACAGGGCAGTATAAAGATGTTTTGTTTATTATTACAGGTTCTATTATTAAATACAGGGCAATATAATGATGTTTTGTTTATTATTACAGGTTCTATAGAAAAGCTAGGTATGAAGAGAATATGTTCTGCTAGTGAAAGTGCTTTAGATGATATTATTATAATGCCTAGAATACGACCTAAAGTAGAGATGAAAGATGCTGCAACACAAACACAAACAAGTACATTATGTAAAGATTTATCTTCATCATTAAGTGCTAGTACTAGTAGTCAAATAGAGGATGAAGTATTTGAAGTAAGTTTCCTTCTTTTATTATGGGATCATGGTAGTTGAGCATGGACTGTATACAAGTTATCTTTTCTTGGAAACATCGCTATCTTGGTAGAATGAACTGTATAATACAAATTATCTTTTCTTGGAAACATTTATCTTGGTATATGGACCATAAATTTTACAAAACAATTCAAAATGCCTAAGCTACGGTCTAATCATCTAAGATTCAATCAAATCTTTGATGGGTATCATTTATATAATAAATTAATTTTCAGGTAAACTCACCAACAAAAGAAAAAGATACAGAACTGGTACAAGTAATACCAAAAGAATCTTCACCCACAAGAAAAGTTTCTTGGAATGCAGACATTCAATTACATCATGAAAATCGTCCAACTTTAATCCGACGTTTATCATGGACGCAGAAACAAAATAATACACACTCTCCCACCGTTCAGACCCGAAGATATTCATTAGGTTTAAATCATTCAATAATATATCGGGATCCTTTACTACCTCCAAAACGCAATTTATTAATCAAACAAGACAGCTTAACGCAAACCACATCTTTAGCGGTTCCTACTCGTAAAGTATCCTGGAACAAAGACACTGAGCGTTCACCAGTGAGTCCAAGTCGTAAAGTGTCATGGAGTCCAGAAATTGAGTATTATAATCGCATTTTATCACGACCAGACATACATAACGTGTCACCATTACAGAAATTATCAGTTAGCGAAGACATCGAATTACAAACCTCTCCCTCCCATGATAGTTATAATAGTTATGATGATGGTAATCACGAACTCTTGAATACAGAGAAATGTGTAGAACAGGAAGTAGAGTTACAAAGTGTAGACATATACAACGAATCAACTGAAACAACAAATGTTGCTTATGCGTCTGATTCTGAAGAAAGTTTATTTGCAGACAACCAACCTGCCGTTATAGATGTGGAAGTTACCCATTTCTAAAACATATTTGACAATTTATGCATTGTGATAAATCAGTTTGATGTTCTTTCATGTTTTTTTAGTTTTAAAAACCAGTGCTAGATATACACAATAATGTATGGTTGAAATGAGTGTAACTATATTCTTCTTGTTGAGCTCCATGAAGTGTTACGTGTGATGTTTAATTTGTGATTGACTATTTGTATTACTTACAATATACATAATTTTGAATATATATGAAACTAATTTAATATCATTTTATCCACTAGTGTTGTTAATTTACCATTTTGGTTAAGTTTGATGTGAATATTATGGTTGTAAAATTAATACATATTTATAATATATATATAATCGATTTTATTATGGTGGTATGATTGATATAAACTAGAACCTCACTATAATTTGGTTTTTCTGTAAAACGGATTTGAGTATAAGCATGGGGACACTTGCAAAAAAAATAAATTACCCGAGTGTGTGCTCTCTATAATGACTGTCAAGTATGATTCTTAAGTGAAAAAGTTGTATTTGAAATACAAAGATCGGTGTGTTTGGTGTGTGCTTAAATGATGTATCTTGTTTTGTTATTAAGTTTTTGATATCTAGTTTGTTTTGGTACAGATTTTACTTATTTCGAGCAATAACTTTAGTTATATTTAATGTTCAAATATTTAATGTTTAACTTTTAAAAAATATATAATTTTTATAGAATATATTTTGTTATTTAATATTGCTTGTGTTTGTTTTTTAGGGTTTTTTTTAAATATATGGTTAAAGTATTACTTATATTTATTTCTGTTATATAGGTATTTATTTATATTATATAGGTATTTATATTATGTAGGTATTTATTTACATTATGTAGATATTTATTTACATTATAAATAGGGTTATAATCGATCTTATAGAATTATGTGTATATAAAAGAAATTATTGAAGAATGTGTTGATACAATAATAGTATATTATTTAATGTTGTAAATTTAGAAGTATGTTCATACATCTTATTTGTGTGATAATATAATATCTGATATTTAAACTGTGAATAGAAATTCTTAATAAAATTTTGATATCTTGAGACAAGAGCTATTTGTACATATTTGTTAGTTATTATACATTATTAGATTAACATGATGAATGCAGAGCTTGTCATATGCTGAAATATAATTAAAACATTTTGAAGGAGCAAATTGGCCACATTTTATTTTAATTATGTTAATGAGGCCGTCCCAGATTGCACAGGACACCATAAGTAAAATGTAAGTCTAACCCAAAATGTGATGATACAACCTGTTTACTTTCAAATTTCAAAATAAAGAAATTGAGCGTTTATGTAAAGTCATTTAAAGATGCATTATGTGCAAGCTAAATCTGCCTATTGCAACTCTTTTTTCCTTGTTTCAAGTGTTTTATAAATTATTATTTAAACATTTATTCACATGACAAGCCCATAATCAACTGTCTACCCATTGCATGGCTGTGATATTTAATGGATTAGAACACTCGCGCCATTTAATAATTCAACAATAAAATGGATAATTGAGTCTGTTTATTACCATAGAAATGGTATTTGACAATCAATACTATCTTGTCACCATAACTTTGATCAGCATAAAGAAATTTTTAATATATTAATTTTTATACGCCTACATTTTCATGTGGACGTATTATGCCGTCGCCCCTGTCCGTCCGTCCGTCCACAATTGTTTGTGGACTCTCTACAGGTCACAATTCTTATCCGATTTCGGCGAAACTTGAAATATAGGTTTATCCCGAAAAGATCTTGGCTGCTTTCGATATTGGCATGTATCAGATCGAAACTTCATGGATTATGGCCCCTGTTTGTACGAAAAAATCACGTTTTTAGCTTGTGGACCCTATAGAGGTCACAATTTTGATCCGATTTTGTTGAAACTTGAAATGTAAGTTTATAACCCAAAGATCTCAGTTCCTTTCGATATTCCCGCATATCGGACAGTAACTTCCTGAATTATGGACCCTGATTGTACGAAAAATCACGTTTTTAGCTTGTGGACCCTATAGAAGTCATAATTTTTATCCGATTTAAAAAACCGTTCTATTATATCACCGAAACACCCTAAGTGTAACTAAGTTTGAATTTCTTGTAAATTGGCCCAAAATTGACAGACAAAATGGCCGCCGTTTGTTCCCAAATAGCGTAAGAATATGGTATATCAAGGTTGTGGACCCTATAGGGGTCACAATTTTTATCCGATTTTGTTGAAACTTGAAATGTAAGTTTATAACCCAAAGATCTCGGTTCCTTTCGATATTCGTGCATATCGGACCGTAACTTCCTGAATTATGGCCCCTGATTGTACGAAAAATCACGTTTTTAGCTTGTGGACCCTATAGAAGTCATAATTTTTATCCGATTTAAAAAACCGATCTATTATATCACCGTTACACCCTAAGGGTGACTGAATTCGAATTTCGTGAAAATCGGCCCAAAATTGACATACAAAATGGCCGCCATTCGTTCCCAAATAGCGTAAGAATATGGTATATCAAGGTTGTGGACCCTATAGGGGTCACAATTTTTATCCGATTTTGTTGAAACTTGAAATGTAAGTTTATAACCCAAAGATCTCGGTTCCTTTCGATATCGGACCGTAACTTCCTGAATTATGACCCCTGATTGTACGAAAAATCACGTTTTTAGCTTGTGGACCCTATAGAAGTCATAATTTTTACCCGATTTAAAAAAACGTATTATTATATCACCGTTACACCCTAGGGACGACTGAATTCGAATTTCGTGAAAATCGGCCCAAAATTGACAGACAAAATGGCCGTCGTTCGTTCTCAAATAGCGTAAGAAAATGGTATATCAAGGTTGTGGACCCTATATAGAGGTCACAATTTTTATCCGATTTTGTTGAAACTTGAAATGTAAGTCTATAACCTAAAGATCTCGGTTCCTTTCGATATTCGCGCATATCGGACCGTAATTTCCTGAATTATGGCCCCTGATTGTACGAAAAATCGCTTTTTTAGCTTGTGGACCCTATAGAGGTCATAATTTTTATCCGATTTAAAAAACCGTATTATTATATCACCGTTACACCCTAAGGATGACTGAGATTGAATTTCGTGAAAATCGGCCCAAAATTGACAGACAAAATGGCCGCCGTTCGTTCTGGAATAGCATAAGAATATGTTATATCAAGGTTGTGGACCCTATAGAGGTCACAATTTTTATCCGATTTTGTTGAAACTTGAAATGTAAGTTTATAACCCAAAGATCTTGGTTCCTTTCGATATTCACAAATATCGGATCCTAACTTACTGAATTATGGCCCCTAATTGTATGAAAAATTGCGTTTTTAGCTTGTGGATCCTATAGAGGTCATAATTTTTATCCGATTTAAAAAAACGTATTATTATATCACCGTTACACCCTGAGGACGACTAAGTTCGAATTTCGTGAAAATCGGCCCAAAATTGACAGACAAAATGGCTGCCGTTCGTTCAGTTCCTTTCGATATATGCGCATATCGAATTGTAATTTCCTGAATTATGGCCCTTGATTGTAGGAAAAATCACTTTCTTGTTAGCTTGTTCTCTATCCATCTCTCGAAAATGTGGGCGTATCCTGCCTGGCAGCCGCTGGTTCATTATCTGTTTTTGAACTATTATAGCAATACGATCCAGCTCTTTATCTAAATCTTACATAATGCATCGTTCAGGAAATCATTTTTTACTGTATCAGTGACTTAATTATCATGACTATCACTTACCAATAGAACCTAAGCAAGAATGTTGACATGGTTATCCAGGCAATTATACACAGCATGGAATTTTGAGTATCTCAGTTTCAAAGGTGTAAAATACATCAGATTTCACAAGATTTATCTTTAAAAAAAATATATGTGGGACTCCCCCTTTAAACTCAATAATCATGTATCAAATAAAGGTATTATTTGCCTTAACTCATGCAATATATATATATATAGAGAGAGGGAGAGACAAGAGCGAGAGAGTTAATCTGAAATGTAAAATGTTGATTCATTATCTATGTCTTGAAATTGTGGTGTTGATTTTATTTTGTTATGAAGACCAGACCAAAATTTATCAATTTTTCAACGGAAAACCTTAACAATTTAGCACTGGTTATATGTAAATGTTACTTACCCCAGGTCTTTGAAGAATATTTGAGAAAGTTGATATATTATTACCTGGACAGACTGAAACAGACAAAAACTGCTGTATTATAGAACCATTTACTAGTTCTTGTGGGTGCCACAGCTGTTCATGTGACAGGGCAGTCTAAGGAGCCCCAGTTAATGGGGGTTTAAGTGTTAAATGGATAAACACAGAAACAGACCACAAAGGTTGTTGTCACATATTTGGTCTTTTATAGATAATGTGAGCATTTACAAGACACTAACTAGAGCTGTAACAAGCAATAATCAGAAATAATTAAATTTGTCTGCAGTTCTCCTAGTCCTTCAATTTATTTAAACATGTTCCTGTAATCATGTGATTTTGAGAGATCAGAAATCGTTGAAAATCAATAGAATTCTTTGCTTCATAAACACCTGGTGATAATTTTAGCCCCTGAAGACTGGAATCTGGATAAAACAAGACTTATTTTATAAAAATAATATATTATTATTATTATTAACAATGTTTTTATTCTGGATATCTGAATGGGATTGAGGAACAGGCATCATAGATGTAACACCCCTCTACCTGAGGTTATGAGGTTATAATGGATGAATATAATTAATTGTTATTGTTGGGATGTATGTAGATCAAATGTAGATATTTGTTTTGTACAGGTTACACCTAGTGTTAAATTTGTTTGCACCATATGAAATAATCATTTTATAGTATGTATGTCTTGTTTTTAGCCCATCCAACCAACAGCCCCCAAGCCTGAACAATTTATATTTATAAATTTCTTTCTAAGAACAGTTGATTTCAGCCTAACCTCATATGTAAGGCTTTGATTTGCTCAAGTACAGAATTTCCATACAATATCTGAATTATCTAAAGCTATCCTGAATGAAACTTTGATGGTGAATAAACATAATAGTAAGTGCAGGATGACTGCACTACACACAAACAAAACCAAAAAGACAAACCTGAGGACAAGATATTCAAACTACACAAACATTGCAAGCAATGAACAATAAATATCAAATCAAGTGGAATCTCATCCTGGTAATTGAGGTTTGTTCAGTAATATGGATTTAAGCCATGGGGTAGTAGCTTTGTTTTTAGTAGATTTGCATAGCAACCATTTGGGTAATGAACATGGTTGCAAGACTAAAACTTGGCTTAGATCATCTTGCCAAACAAGGTCTACCAAAGGTAGTTTGTGCTGCTTCTAATGTTATATTCAATATCCAGTATACACAAGAAATAAGTTAAGTGTCTTAAAGATGCATTCCCATGAGAGTATTTATAGGGTGGTTATTTCCAATAAAAGTATGTCAAGTAGACACTCAATCTTACTAGAAAAATACTAGATTCCCTGAAAAACATCCATAGGGTATGCACAGGAAAAGAAATTAAGGGAATCACTAACAGACTGGTCTGCTTGAATGACGTGGGGAGTTTTGGTTTTGTGATTAAATGGCTAGAGGTTGTGATAACAGTGGGAGACTTAAACATACTGCAGGCTTAAATTTCCAATCAACTGGCAGAAAAGTTTGGCAGAAGTCAATCCAAGAATTTACTTAGGCTTTGATATCTATGGTAGGCCTAAATGGACAGCCAGTAATGACAAATTATAGATCTTAAATTGTTCCTTCCCCTCAATCAAGTCACATGAGAGAGAGACAGAGAAATGGGGTTTAACAACCACTCGACACAAACTAGGTCATTTCGGGACTAACACATGGTTCAATTTTATTTCAATAATTTGCTTGCACGTAGGGGTCTTTAGCAGTGGGAGGAAACCGGAGAAAACCCACGAGGTTGGACAGGCGACCCTACTCCTTGTCACGTACAACCGGGGATTCGAAACCCCGCCAGTTGACTCATTGACAGAGCATATGATACAGCACAGCACGAACGTGCTAACCATTCGGCCATCCAACCCCCGACCGCCCAAAGTCACATGAATAACAAGGATGCTTAAAATAGGCTTTACTGCTAGGGGTAGTTTTCTTCCGATCAAAATGTTTTGAGAGGTATTTGAAGCAAACTTTGGATTAGTTGAGTATGTTTTAAGTTCTAATAGATCATCAAATCACAAAATTTGTATGCGAGAAGGCATCTTTAACTAACAATGACAGAGAATCATAGGCTTCTCATTCACCAAGACTGCCATCAGGAATTTGTTCACATACCATGATCTAGAGTACTGGTTAAATCCAAACACAAGCTCATCCCAAACTTGGGCTGCCTATCTACAGCTAGCTCCGGCTGAGAATAGGCCCTAAGCTAATTAACCGACATTTTAATTCCTACATCAACACTGAGGATGCTTTTAGAAATTTTTAGAAGTATTTATTTCTCTTCTATTGTCATATTGAATGAAATTAAATAGGTATAATTAGCCGTTGTGTGCATGAAAGCTGTCAAACTAATCAGAGCCGAATCACAAAAAAGTTCCCTAATTATTCAATATGGCGGCGCCTATGACAGATAATTTCACAGAGGCGGTTTTGTTTGCGAAAACAAATTTAGGAGTATCTAACCTTGTTTTGAAAGATAAACAGATTGAAACTCTAAAGACAGTTTACAATGGTAAAGAATTTAGTGCAATATTACCCATAGCACATATTATGTATCGCTTTTACGCGAGTGTCGGCTACATGGCGTGTTTACATAAAACACACGTGCGTGGGTTATTTTTACTCTGTTGTCTAAACGGTCGACAAGTCCCGCCCCAAAATGATCACGTGTGCATTTTAAATGGCGGCTAACCAGGGCAGTGTCACATTCTGGGAAGTATGACCTACTGTCTGATTCATCGTAAATTTTAAACGGATTTCTTCGATTATGAACAAACTACTTAACGTTGGTTATTATAAACTTACCTGTGTGTTTGTAATGAACTCCCGTTCGATAAAATCCATTGCACAACTAATTATCACAACGATGAAAACAAGTTCTCTCTTGAAAAATTGAAATATCACAAACTTTTCCCAGAGAAAAATACCAATATGGAAGATGGTTACGTCACTCTGCGGAAGATATCATTTCGTATTAGGGGTGACAGCATAGGAAATTCAAGTACAATTACGACAAGAATCCATGACCACTCGGTTCAAGACCAGTCGGACCAACTGATAGACCACTCATCCCAAACAAATAGACTACTCGGACCATACAAAAAGACTATTCGGACCCAACAGAAAGACGACTCGGACCAATAATAAAACGTTGTTTTAATAAATTGATAATTGCGTTTGTTTTAATATAATTACTCGAACCAATAATAAAGTGTTATTTTAATAAATTGATAATTGTGTTTATTTTAATATGACTACTCGAACCAATAATAAAGTGTTATTTGAATAAATTGATAATTGTGTGTGTTTTAATATGACTACTCGAACTAATAATAACGTGTTGTTTGAATAAATTGATAATTGTATTCCAAATCGCAAAATATCGAGAACCACACTTGTAGTCACGTTTAAAAAGGGGCATATAAACGTCCGGTCTTCGTATTATTATGTGCTGTTTATATTAACGCATCAAGGGTGGATAACTTGAAAACGTGTCTCCACCCTCCCCCCCCCCCCCCATATATAGTAACCCAGGGGTTAGTGGGGTAGAACGGAATGAAACCACTGGGGATACCGCGAATGTGGAAAAAGTAAAATTAGGCTATCAGACAAGAACAGTATACCCGTATATGTGGAAACTGTCAAAAGTCTGGACATACCGAGTCTCATTGCAAGAGTAAAGAAAAATTAGATTGATATTTTTTTTTGGCACCATTATTAATTAATTTTAAAACTAATCGTTGATTTATTTTCCGTACACAAAATTGAACCAAACAACTCTAAATATAAGAATTCCGTATAAGAATTATTTGCTTCTTTGTATTGTGATTTAATAATAAATAAATAGCATATTGTCTAGCCTTATAATATAATTTAATTGGTCCGACTGGTCTTGTTTTGGTCCGACTGGTCTTAGTCCGAGTAGTCTTTGGTCCGAGTGGTCTGGATACCTACGACAATTGGCATTGAGTTTGAGCGTTCGCACACATAACTACCCGCATTCCTGTATTTAGTTACCGTCTAGTAAAATCTCTGCAAATTTTATAGCTTTACTTTTTGAAATATTTTGTTCTAATTATTTGATTAGCGACTCGGATGGGATTATTTACTTTTGAACACGCATGCCGCACAAACACAACTATACATTCGTTTTACGGGCTTTATCACACTTCGGTCAAAACTGTCGGGCTTAGTAGCATTATATACCCACCCGGGCACCCAATACGGCAATAGACACGCTGAGGGCTGCCACAACACGCTTAAAGATGTTACTGAAGCGGTTATTATTCGATCGAAAGAATGCGTATAAAATTAAAAATACACTCAGAGAATTCGGAGGTAAGCTTCATGATCCTTGTTAAATTATTTATAACATAAAGAAGATAGGATATTTATAGTTTATTCATGACTTTATTTTTACGAGTATCCGTGCAATCAGTGATATTTTAATTGTGAAGAAAATTTGATAGACTGGCGATCAATGGTTTCCATATAAATCTCCTATGTAATTGCCTTCAATTGATATTTTTCGTCGCCCAAACCCATATACGATCAAAATGATCGCGCTGTCAAACTATCTTTCAATGTTAACCAACCCCCGCAACAGGTATATTGGATTCGACCATTACGTCACGAAGACATTGTTGACATCGACTCTGTCGAAATTACAAGTAAATTTTCAAATTTTTCAAGAGAGAAATTGTTCTCATCGTTGTGATAATTAGTTGTGCAATGGATTTTATCGAACGGGAGTTCATTACAAACACACAGGTAAGTTTATAATAACCAAAGTTAAGTAGTTTGTTCATAATCGAAGAAATCCGTTTAAAATTTACGATGAATCAGACAGTAGATGGGTCGCTGCGTGCAGTATGACACAAGCTAAACAGCAACAACATTTCAATTGAAAAAAAAACCCAGAAAAAATGTCTGATTGGATGTTTTTTTATTAATAGCATTCCTTTTGCTGTAAAAATAATGAAAATATTTACAGAACCATGATGAAAAGCACACAAATATATTTAAGGAATGATACAAAGGCAAGTTTAATGAATATGTGGGGCCCATTACTAGTCTTAAGTCACAAAAGTTAATAACGATTTGGAGCTTTAAGCAATCGCAACCCTGATATAACCTCCTCTGTTTTTTTTTTTAAATGTTTATAGATTAAAGCTCCACAGTTTTGGTATGCTACAAAAGAGGCACTTGTGTGTACAGTAGGGTTTAAATTTAGGAAATTGAGTAAAACTTTTGCAGATGTTAAGCATTTTAACCAATCAAATATTGAAACTAGTGTATTTTGAGAATGAAACTTCTTATTGTATGATAATATTCTTTTTTTTTTTTCAGAATTCACTTAATGAAGCTGAATATGATATATTTTAAGACTTTGACTTTACCTTGTTAACATTGATAATGTAAAGAAATGGACAAGTTGTTCATCAAATCAGGATGCATAAGGTAAATGAAGCAAAAGAACACGAATTTGAGCTTTTAAAGCCTTCCTATATTTACAATAGTATTAAAAATTAACATATAATCATAACACAAACAAAAAAAATAACATATTATCTAAATAATATAACAATGACTTAAAATAACAAGCAAACAATACAGAGGTGTCATATATAAAACTTACTCATATGGACTATATTAAAATTTACAGTTATGGACTAAATGACTACATGCACACACAAATAGCGGTGGTGTGACTCTTTGTGGGAGAGCTATTCGATATTCAGCTGTGAAATAAGTAGGATATGGGTATAAATATATTTCTAATTTTCTAGAAGCATTCTGATATTTGGATCTAAAAGAAAGTCACTAATTATCATCTGTATTGCTTTTTATGTGCTAAACAAAAGTACTCATACTGATTTTTTAACATCTAATTAAAAAAAACAATATATAATCTCTAACTTGGATTCAATCGGATTAAAAAGAAAACTATCAAAAGATTTTTTTGTAAAGATAATAGGTGGTGCTGGTTTCTTTTCAACCTATAATGTTGAATGTTGACAAGTTGTCAATTTATCAAATTATCAAAACACTACATTAAAATGTAGGCATATAAAAATCCTACAAATGACAGAGACTTTGACAGCCATCATCATAACTAAGTATAAGTTTAAATAATGACAAATCAAAGAAGTAAAATAAATGCATATTGTATTGATAATTATGTAGAAAACCTGATAAATACATTGAGTTACACAGACACAATTCTTTGGACCTTGTCCTAAACTGTTCCAAATATGGACAACATGCTTTGCGACCAAAAGAATTCCACAGGGTATTGACAATGAAATGAAGTAATTACATTCGAGTAACATGGCAAAGTGACTGTGTGAGAAATGATGAGAATTTCTTCTAGACCTCAGATCAACACAAAATAAATATATAGATCAAACATTTAATTTCATTAATTATCATGTTAATTGTTGGTTATTTTGATTCAATTTTTCCAAATTATCTGCCCTTAATTCATTATAATTTGGTAATTAATAAATCTAAGTATACATCAAATTAGGATCAATCTCGGGTGTTTAAAAATGTCACAAATGAACTTTACAATCATGTAAAAGTTGCCAATAAATAATTTCTAAGTAATTGGGGAAGTACACACATTACAAATATATATTTTATATATATAATATACTCGGCTATACTGAGGTTGAGGATTCAAAAATTGCATTGAAAATAACTGCCTGACTTCAAGGCAAAGGATCTTTATTTTGCATCAGAGTGCTAAATGATAAATTGTGTATGGAAACTTGATATTATTTCACGAAATTCAACTATATTTACAAACAATGGCACATGAACATTCAAATTATCTTTTATACAAAATAGAATTTTGGCAAATATTGTCAGTGTTTTGCTTCGGAAAGATATAAAAAATATTTTCAGATCACAACCAAATCTAATAATAGTACAATATATAGTCTACTGGACCTCTGAGACTTGCAATAGAAAATACATCAGTCCATTTGTAAACTATACTAACTTTCTATACATCCTACAACGAAAACAAAATTGAAAATGTATTCTTAATCATTTGGAAGATAATTAAATAAAATTTCAATTGCTGATGATACAGGTTAATTTATTTTTTTAATAGAATTTTCTTTTGTTAGACTTGAACCAACAACCTATACAAATAAATACCCAATATTAATGATATACATCATGATAATTTTGAATAAAATTAATGTCACAAACATCTGGAATAAAACTTACAACCTATATTCTGATAATTTTTATATTTTCTAAAATACAGATCTTAACATACAAATACCCGATGTCGATGATATCATGATAATTCTTTTGTCACAAAATTTTCATAAAAGTTATTGTGCCCAAAAAATTAAAATTGAATTTTAAAATGCCTACTAAAATAATTTCAGAATTTTTTTCAATGTTTCTCTTCTTTGGTTAAGATGGGCGTATAACTTGAGTTCTGTTTTGAACTCATATCCACTAATTCTTCCATTTGTCCATTTTTTTCTTTCACTATCATGGCATCCGCAGATTCTGGATCAACTACACCTAGTGACAACAGATATCTGGCACGATTTTCTGGTAAAGCTGGTCCCCAATTGTGAGCTGGTTTCATCAACTTTTTGAATCTCTATTAAAAAGAAAATGTTTATGAAAAAATACAGCTCATCAATGTATTTCTCTTAATGATTCAATCACAACCTTAGAAGCCATTGTACTAAAACAAAATTCCATTTCTATTTTCAATGCCAGGGATGGATGCTGAATTGTCCCTATATGCCAGACATGTCCTATAAGCTGGCAAATTTCTGACCGGGAATATGCCTAATCGGGCATCAAGATATGGTACATCATATTAAATATTCCTAAAAATAATTACTTTACCGACTTACTGAGGGTATAACCATTACTCATCTCGACCGTCACTGATAATAGGCGGGATTATTTAAGAAATTAAGTGATCAACCTTTTTAAGGTGTTATACACCTTGACAAATAAATCATTAGTAACTTTGTGGTCAGGATTTAAATAGAAGTGGTCAAAATTTGAGTTTTTATCTCAAGTAACTACAATAATTTTATGAATATATTTTTCTTTAAAAAGATAAGAGAACCCTCATTAAAATGTCACCAGAAAAGATTCCCATACACCACAGCATACCAGATCAACCTAATTCATTATTATATTTTTATCAAAATTTAAAAGGTGCAGCTTCTTTAACTCCATTTGACACAAACTGAGTCATTTTAGGACTAATATTGTTCAATTTTAAATTATTTGCTTGTGTGTAGGGATCTTTAGCAGTCGGGGGGGGGGGGGGAAACTGGAGAAAAAATTATGAGGTTGGATGGGTGACCCTATTCCTTGTCAGATACAAGCAGTGAAGCAGCCAACCAACCACCTTAGAACCTTGTAATCTATATATATATTTGTGACTGTCATTTGTCTGTCTGTCTGTCTGTCTGTTATGACCCCCGAGCCAAGCCGGTCTATTCGGGGTTGTCGGCTACACTAGGTCTGCCCCGAGTCTGAAATTTGGGGTATAAGGGTAGCTCGGACCGGGGAGTAACATAGGCCAGGTGGCGTTAGTCTACCACTTCCGGTTTCGGAGTAATGACCCCCGAGCGAAGCCGGGTATCTGTCTGTTGGGGGTTGGCGGCTACACTAGGTCTGCCCCGAGTCTGAAATTTGGGGTATAGGGGTAGCTCGGACCGGAGAGTAACATAGGCCAGGTGGCGTTAGTCTACCACTTCCGGTTTCGGAGTTATGACCCCCGAGCCAAGCCGGTCTATTCGGGGTTGTCGGCTACACTAGGTCTGCCCCGAGCGAAGCCGGGTATCCTGCTAGTTATAGATAAAGAAAGCAACATACCTCAATGATGGGACCTTCTTCTCGATAGACTTGTAAGACCATACATAATGGTATAGGCACGATAGAACATACACCTAGTAACCAACCACATAATACAGCCCATTGTGGATACTCATAATCACCATATTTTACGGGTCCTAACGTAATTACACTGAATAACCAGATGAACTGAAATAAAAAAACACTTGATGTAAATATAAATATGGAATGACCATTTACGAAGTAGGCATCTAATTGTTGGACCGGAAACTGGTCCCCTAGTGCTACTGATGTTGGGGTTGACAATTGGCTCTGCCAATTCAAGTATAATTGACATGAAACTTGGCATGCTTGTTCCTTGGACAATTGTGCATCAATTAAAGGTCTTGCAATAGACGTTTATCATACTTACAACAATAACAGCAGGAGTTGTGTATTTCCAACTATATACCCAGATACGATGAGGTTGATACCCAATCATAAGTTCTATGTCTTTCATAAATCTATCAGCACCTATAACATACAATCAATTATAAATTGTCGAATATTTCAAGCCAGAAATTAATTTTTTTTTTTTTTTAATAAGCAATTCCCATCTTGTATTAAATATGATAATTTACTTGACATTTTTTCTTCAACTAAGGAAGCTGAAAACTATGGATGGTCTTAAATAATGACAAAACTGAATATCAGATTAGTGGTTCCAAGATAAATCTGACTAATGTCGTTTATGGTGTTATAGTGATCGGCATCTGATACACATTACACTATAACAAATATAAACAAGTTTGAACATTCCAGCTCAATTAGAAGTAGAGTTCTTGTGTCTCAAAAAGTGTGACAGACCGACCGACCGCGGGGGACAATGAAACAAAACATAAAGCCTTACCATAAACCCAGGAAACAACGAGACATTCAGCTAAGGAGATCAACATGAGAGAGAAACTAGCACAATACCAATCCATGATTTGTAGAACGTAGATACCTCCCTGAAAACACAAATCACAAAAAAAACAACACATTAGTTAATGCATACTAATATGCGTTTCATTTTTCAGTTGTAAGTAGATTTAATTTTCAGCCTAATATATCTATGATTTTGAAAGTCAGGAGAAGGTTCACAGACTTCATGCTACACAAGCTTTTCTGATTGAAAAATTGGCCATAACTTGTCAAATAATTCTTGGTGTGCACTGGTCTTATATTTCACCACTCTTCTGCTCATATATTCCTTATAACTTTAGAGAGTGAAATGGGGTTAAAGTCCACTTGACACAAACCAGGTCAATTCAGGACAATTTTATTTCAATATTCACTAATTCACTTGCACATAGATAGAAGTATTTAGTTGTAGAAGGACCCTGAGAAAACCCATGAGATTTGACAAGTAACCCTATTCCTTGTCCTGTACAAATATGGGATCGAAAATCACACCACTTGATTCAATGGCAAATCTTATCATCTAAACTCAACCTCCCTTGATTAAAATATGCTGTAGTTTAATTTAAGATGATAATATGTTATAAACTGTACTTACTTGACTGATACAAGGCAATCCCAATACAAACTCTATAAAGCAGGCAACAGCAGTTACGATCAGTTTCTTATTTCTCAACAGTTCTGGAAATTCATCCATGGCACCAGACAAAAATGTCTCAAACATTCCAAACTATGAAAATAAAAAAAATACAAAAGACTCTTAGATGGATAGTGGTGACTTTCTATATCTGAAATAGAAACTGGGAGAGGGGGATTCGTTAATATAATTTACTTTACATATGTTCGTCAAACTCTTATAATACAATTTACATACCAATTACAATCTCAAACATATTCAATATTATTTTATGATCAAGGGTTGCATAAATCTATTATATACAAACAATGCATTTTAATTGTATGCTGGATGGAGGATTCAAATTCTTAATTTATCAAGCTGCAAACTAATTTCCAATCTAAAAAAAAAGATCTAATTTTGATTATAAATCCATCCAACATACAATAAAATAAATTCAAAATCTGATATAGATCTTCAAGTAATTATTCATCACCCCAAACAAAAAAAAATTAATTCCGCAGAGAATATTTATTCATGAATCTATCCCGCAGTGAATATTAATTGAAGAACTATTTCATTTGGTATGAATGATTCATTTCTGAATGTAATATATAGGTAATTTGTGTTGTGTTGTGTCTGTGTGTTACATGGTTGGAATGTCGTCTGTTTTTGTCAGTTTTTAACTAATATGTATTTCAATTCACCACACATCCATTCTATGAAAATTCAAATCTGCAAAATGCAATTCTTTAACCAGGTAAAAAAATTTAATAATATTATTAATACAAATTATATGGTTTAATTGAGGTGATACATATTGGGAATATCAATTTCAGGGAAAACTGTTGTTAGAGAGCAATGGTTTGGTACGACGCCCAAAAGAACGTAGTAAAAAAATCCAACACCATTAAAAAGACATGCAAATCACTTTGTTGACTGGAATCATATTTGATTGGATGTGTGAGTAAATTGGAAATTAAAAAGATGAATCAAATACACTGTATGATGCTGTCAAACAAAACCTAGAGAGCTGACTTCTGTCTGTTGCTGCGGCATGCCTCACTGGCTGGCTCTGACACCACCCCCTCGGTCATGGCCTTTACAAGAATAATCGAAAGAACAAACATGTCTAAATTACATCATTATTTAATTGGTTTTTCAATAATATCTAAAACTTCTAATCATCAGAACTTTAAACAATATCAATTAAGAAATTGTATTCAACATTAACAATAAATAAATAAATAACAGAATACAAAACTAAACTAAACTAACTTGAAAATATCCCTACCTATTCATAAAATGTATGTGTTGACCTTAAAGCAATAGTTTTACTGACCCTTACTATTTTTCTTTTAAAAGGTTAGTTATATTTAACATACAAGTTTTTAAAACAAAAGGGTGTTTTTAATCATATAAAATATTTTGACAGATTAATACCCAGGTTATGTCCTACTTGAACCCAAATTATTCTACTAGTGTATAAAACTCTTTTTATAAAACTCTATTTATTTTTAAAACTCTATTTACATATATAATTATCCTGTTCCTGTATAAAATTATCCTATTCATGAATAAAACTCTCCTATTTGTATAAAACTCTCCTATTTGTATAAAACTCTCCTATTTGTATAAAACTCTCCTATTTGTATAAAATTCTCTTATTCATCCCTAATATTGCATTAACAATTTAGTTTTTTTGAATCCAAATAAACAAATATTCTAGCTTCACTTCAGTATTACTTCAGTCATTCAATCTCTAATAGTATTAGAAATATTTGGTGATACCCCATTTAATTACTTTCACAATTCAACTGTTTCAACACTATTGATATATAACTGTTAAAAACACTTTATTCTAAATACTACAATTAATCAACCATTTAATTTTATTAATCTATCCATGTAATTATTGTGTATTTTCAATATTTCTAAAGGTATCATTTATTATCTGTTTTGATTTTAATTTTTAAACATCCACATGTAGTCATGAAGTCATTTATTCATTCATTCTTTCATCATGCCATACAAACCCCATTTCATCTCTATTTTCACACATTCTCTTTCTGTCCTACTTGCTCATCTATCATTTTCACATTAATGATTTTGTGTCTTTCTCTCTTCCTTAGATAATTCAGTGCAGTTTTTGCTTCTCTGGCATAACAGAATTTCAAGAGATTTATTTTTACATAGATGATTAAAAATTCTATAAAGGTTGTTCAAACATTTCATACAAATAAATTAGCCAAATTTAGAAAATTTGAATATTAAAAGCACTGAAAAATCTCAATCGCTCTGACTTGTTCTATTCTGATTCTCTATAAAGCCAATTCCATGGAAAGATTAGAATGCTGAATCTGACCCAGCTTTCCAAAGCTTGATAGCCAAATGAGATAAGTAAATTAAGATGAAAAATGCTCTGCAATAAACATGTCATCACCCATTAGTCTGGTTATCCAAGACTAAGTTGTGCTATCATGCGCAAATGCTGAACATAAAAGAAAGCATTTTCATGATTCTGAAGCTGGTTTTGTTCTTCCATCACATGATAAGACTCTTTTTGTTTAGCATTTACGGTTTCAGAACCATCTCATTTGGCTATCTTGCCAGTGATAATTCTTTGATGCCGCCTAAAGCTAAATGAATACTATTTTTTTTATCTCTCTGTGCAAACGGGTTTATCGTCAAGATCCTTTACATTCTAATTTCTGTTTACATCATTCTGTCATTCTTGCAAAACAACTCTTTCAGATCTTGCATCAAGCTCACATTTCCTTGCTCACCTACATGTTGACTTACTAATCCATTTTATCCAGTATTTTCAAAACTATCATATGATTTGGTTGTTAAAAACTCAGTTAAAATACATAATAAAGATCAAAGTAATACATGCAATTTCTAAGAAAGAAATCACCAAATTTTATTTCAATTAGAACTAATTTAGGTTTACCTGTTATAAGGAGATTTGACCCAGCGAGCCCTCCTCATGAGAGTCGTGATCAAACAAAGAGTTCCAGTTAGCTTTTATCTTTTTATAGCCGAAATCTAGAAATTATTTTGAGGTAAATCAATACCTTCTTTAAAACAATTTGAAATTTTCGAAGAGAATTTCGGAGCAGCTCCACTATGCATTTTGTTTCTGCTATTAAGTTTTAAGCCTTTTTGGTGGGATTCAAATTTTATTCTATATAAAATTCCACTGGAATATTTCAAACATTTAAATAAATCTTATGACTGGATTCTTTTTTTTTAAAAGACAATAACTTTACTTACGTGAACTGTGTCATACTCAATATTATACAGTAAAGGACAATATTGGTGTCAGTCATTATCACATATGTGATAGAACTGGTTTAACATGTTCCAAATATAATTTTAACACACAGATCATTGCTACGACAGATCATTAGATGCGTAATGCAGTTTTCAACAATCGGAAGTGACGAACACAAAAGGAAAACACGAGTTATCCATCTATATAACTGAATGAAATAATGAGTGACAATAGATAAATGGGCGAATTTCTGCTCACTAATAATTCCTTCGAGGACCAAAGGTTGTTGTGTGAGACAGTGAGAGGATATCTGACAATTCATAAAAAGAATTGACTGTCACTAGATAAGAGAACACGAAAGAAAAATAGAAAAAGTCTGTGCATTACCATGTTTTTTTTAAGTATAGAATGAATAAAATCAAGGGAATGTATTTCTATTTTTCTTGTGTTCTCTTATCTAATGACATTCGATTACTTTTTATAATTGCCAGATATTATTAGTGCGCAGAAATTCGCCCATGTATCTGTTATCACTCGTCACTTTCTGTTATAAATATAGAGGAATAACTTGTGTTTTCCTTTTGCATTCATCACTTCTGATTGTTGAAACCTTCATTACGCATCTATCGTAGCAATGATCTTTGTGTTAAAATTATATTTGGAACGTGTTTAACCAGTTCTATCACATATGTGATAATGACTGACACCAAAATTGTCCTTTAAGCAAGAACTGAATACATTAAATAAAGTTGTGAGTAGTCTCCCTTTGAACATTTTGTAAGGTTAAAGTAGGCCTATACTGATGACTATTTAAATCACCATATAGTAATATGTTTCTGTAGAAGTTCCTGTTTAACAGTACAACATAATCTTTGAATCTACTATATGTCACCAAATCAAATACCATGCAATAAGTTTTGTAAAAAGTAGTAGGCCTATTAATGAAGTTATTCTTTACCATATTGGAGCTATAGGTTAGCAAGCCTGAAATAAGGCACCTGTCACAGATATGGTCAGGAACAAATCAGGCACAACCCTCCTGGTGCCTGCCATTTTGTCTCGTTCTGATCTGTATTTTATCAGAGTTTTTAATGATATTTATAATACATTTCAGATACCAAGTTCAAAATGTCTGGCACTAGTTCATTACCGCCTGATGTCCTGCCTGATATTATTTCAAGGCCTGGGTTAGTGATGATTTTCATTATAAAAACTGTTGAACCATCAAAGAAATGATCCTTGATTTATTTAAATGTTGAACAGGCCAAAAACTATTTCTAATTTCTTCTTCAAAAGGGACTATCTCTGATTTGAAAAATGCATAGTGGGCGTTTGTACAATTTCACAAACACAAAAATAAAATACCTGAATCAAAACCGGATGTCACTGTCAAATTTTCAATTTAAATTAAGTTTTTGATTGATTATGGAAGTCGTTGTTTGTTTTAATTTTATAACAAGAACTTTCTTGGCTGAAAACATAACCACATACATTTTACATAATGAATAAATTTCAAAGTAGAAGCATACAGAAAAAAGTTTAGTTTTCGTTTTCTATTTCCCGAAGATACGATGAAGCATGTGTGCAGCAGCTTACTTGATCAAGATCAAAACATATATTGGTCGTCTTCAATGATCTACTTTAACTATAAAGCGCCCGTTAAACGCAGGAATTAATATCAACAGAAAATGAAGGGTTGTCATTTACAGGAAAAATTTTACTGGTACATTTTAGGGCAGTCATTTTTTAATGACAAACTGTGAAAGTTTGATCTCTTGAAGCAAAAAAAAATTAAGGAATGACGTTTTCAAATTAAAATGAATTAGTATTGGGATTAAAAAAAAAAAAAAATACACTCTGCAAATCAAATAGCACAGTCAAAGACATAACATCTTTCAAGAGTTTTTCAGCTTGTGGCCCAAAAGCTTTGGAGAAAAGAGATGATATGACCAGTGGAGTTAGTTTTGATCACAAATAACCATATGTAGATAGTGTTATTTCGCATTAACTCCCAATAAATATGTGCTGGGTAGTAATAACGTTGATATTAATTCCTGCTGCTCTTGCTCAACACTTCCAGACCATTGTAAAAGCTTATCAGAACACAGAAAGCCGTTGTGAAAAAGAACAGACACACAATGGCACTTATTCTAGTTGGGAAGACCGCAAATTCCACAATGAAAATAGTCCTAAAAGACTAATTTTGGTCGAATTACTATTTAATATATCTTCACTAATTTAATCTGTTGATCAGACATTGTGTATCAAAAATCTGTTGAATTATGAATGGTAAAGCTTCAAATTCTACAGACACGGAAACATTAGAAATTTTAAGAATTAAAACTGAGCAGACGGCTTTCCATGCTTAGCAGCAGACATATTAAAAATAGCTCTCAAATGAATGAAAATTAATGAGTTGTTCATATGATTTATTAGTATCAAAATGGAGTAAATCAAATGTCCTCCAAATATAATTAACCTATAATTAATTATTTTGAGAAAACAAAAGAATAAACCCAACACGTACATGTAGCAGGACTCTCACATCTCACTGTTGCCAGTCAAATAATTTTACACATTTTACCATAATTTACAAATTTCAATAGGAATATGGCTGCTTTGGCCTATTTGATTTTTTAGAATTCATTATTTATAGTTGTTTTCTATCAGTAATTGTTACTATCTCTGGCAAACTGTAACAGAGAAATATTAGAGCCCTGACATACATCCATACACATGTCCACAACAATTAGTCAGGTACTGGGGTAGACTAGTACAACTAGTAGTTTAGTAAATGAATAATTAACTAAATTAATTAGTAATGCAGTGCAGACAATGTTCTTAAGAAATAGCATGCAACTGAACCAAATGACCACAACTAAAAAAAAAATGCTAAAACATGCAATAATTAACAAAATATAGTCTAAAAAATGAAAATAAAAAATAAAAATAGAGGCATCCATAAAATGTGATGTGGTAAAATACTGGTTATGTTTTTGTTGCAAATACTGATAAATGTACCCCTGTATGTATACATAAATCTTGAGAAAATAGCAAATCAATGAGTTGCAGAGTTTCTCAATAAATAAATTCAAAGAATGTGATGTGTGATGTGGCAGTTATGTCAGCTCAATATTTTCTGATATACATGGATTTTAAATTCCTTTAAACTATCACTGGTCCGATCTATACTAAAAGTTTGATGAACAATTTTTTAACCATGTAATATAAAAATATAATTCTAGTGAATAATAATTAAGATGTATTAATTACCCCATTATATAAGACCGTGAATGCAAAATAGTGTATTGTGCTATACAATATGAATATCAAACTAATATTAGTTAAGCTGCATGCAAGCTCAACCATTATCTATACATTTAGCACTACTTGCACCCTCTCATTGCCCAGCATTAGCAAATAACTAAATTTCATCATTACTTATAATACCATTACACACTTTTCAATAAATAAAAAATAATTCAAAGAGTCATTTCAATTTTAACCCTTTAGAACTTAGACCACACAAACCACCCAGTAACATGCACAGCTGTGGCACTCCAAGAACTAGGCTGTTTAAGGACTGTTTGAATTGTCTATGGATATAACCAGTACTAATATATTACTTTTCTCTAATTTTCTTATTGAACTGAGACAGTCAATATTTACATGTATCAAGTGCTAAAGAGCAAGTATTTAAAAAACAAAAAGTTGTAATATTTCTTTGAATAGTGTGAATTGGTATTAAAGCTAGCAATAAATAGCTAATTATACTTTGAAATTAGCCACTGGAAAAACTATTATTAATAATTTGTATTTTAAAGACATACAACAAAAAGACATTTTACAGAACAATTACTATAATATATATAACTACCAATTACATTCTACCATTCTGTTACATAACATGCAGCAGGGTTTTCTTTTAAAACAACTGAAATCTGTCAACACCCATGATGTTTTTATATCTAAACATCACTGATGTTTGAACAATTAACATTTAGCCATTATGAATTTTGAAGGGTAAATTTTATTTAATGTAAAGAATAAACCACCAGCTATGTATTAAATAATAAGTGAACCCAGTAGTACAGAATGGTAGTTAACATTTAGTTTCCAAATAAAATTCATTCTTTAAGATCCCTTATTGAGATTTCCAATCTATTCTAGTTCACAATTATCAGCTCAATTCAATTTATTTTCTAATAATATAAGCTGCTGCACACAGCCCATTTTTACAAAAAAAAAAAAAAAAAAAAAAAAAAAATTTATTTAGGGTAATGTCATATTACATGATTATAAAGTTTGAAAAAAGATCTATTTAGAACTATTTTTTCATTAAACTAAAGGATCTAAAATTAAACAAAATGAAATTTCTAAGGAAATAAATTGGATCTCAGATGAATTTGTTTAATACAAATATTTTGTTATTTAAACATTTCTTGATCACGAAAACATTTTTAAATAAATGCTGTTTAATATTAATTTTGAGAAGATGATATGAAAAAAAAAAGATTATTATTTGAACTGCATTTTATCTATTTCTATTTTCAAAATCTATACATGAATGATTAAAAAAAATATCCTCAATATGACATTTGCCCCCTATAAATATGTAAATCGATAATTTAGAAGAAGAATTAAAACAAGTATTTTACCATGCTATCAAGGCCAATCGTCAGTAACATCAGAAAGAACAAAACCGCCCATAATGGACTTATAGGCAGTTTTGCTATAGCCTCTGGATAGGCTACGAAGGTAAGACCAGGTCCTATAAAAAACAATATTTATTTATTAAAGTATTATTTGCACAGTGTTAAAATGGCAAGCAATTTTTGAAGGGAGGTAACTCTGCAGTGACCAAATATTATTCTCCCTTTGACCACAATCAGACACTAATAGTATAATTTTATTTCCATAATTCATACGTGTAGGGTCATTACAGTCGGAGAAAATGAGAGAACCCTAGTTTGACCACTGCACCACAATCGCTTCCAAGAGAGTTCAAGAAAACTGATATTTTAAATCAACCAATAGGAAATAAACATCTCTTCTAAGTATTTCTTTAAATTCTAGTTACCTTCAGTGACCACATCACCAACATCTACACCAGCTTCATGGGCCATGAAACCCAAAACTGAGAAAATCACAAAACCAGCAAAAATACTAGTTCCACAATTAATAAACGGTACCATCATAGAATCTCTGAAAATATATCATATAAATACATTAGGCTGCATTCATTACTTGAAATAATAACACTGTAAAATTCTCACTGCTATTTAATCGTCGAATTACTGCAAATAGTTATGTGTGGCAGACATATTTTACTGAGACATAGACTCACCTATAAACATTGTGATCAAACTTATTATAACTAGCCATTGTGACAATACCACCCCATGCCACACCAACAGAATAAAATATCTGTAAAGCTGCATCACCCCAAACCTGCAAAAAGATACAATATGTCATACCGTTAATCTTGTTAATCTTAATATTACTGTCTTAAAAAAATGATTTTGAAGTTTGAATATATCTAAACATTCCCCACTCTCCCATACCATTTTTCTCTCCAAAATACGAGTTTCATATAACTAAAGTTGAAAAAGCTAACCTTGTGATGAAGACTTATTCACTTGAGCAACAAAAGTTTACCAAGGAAGAAAAGAGAGAAATTGATCTAAAATATATATTTTTCACATTAACTTAAGAGGCATTATTCAAGAGCTACAATGATTACCTGAAAACTGGCGAGTTTTTCCCATCTTGGAATAATATAGAACTTGATGCCTTCTAACGCTCCTGGTAAGGTCACGCCTCTTATCAATAAAACCAATAATACCAAATATGGGAAGGGAGCAGCAAAGTGCATAATCTGATGACAAACAAGAATTTATAAAGTAAATAACTTGTAATAATCTTCTGATATAACATAAATATATTCATCTGATTGAATGCTCAATAACAGAAAATTTATAACCATTTCTGAAAATGTCTTCTTATTTCTAAACCCTAACCCCTGTTTGCCGCAAGTTCAATTTTTAGGATCAATCTATCGAAATTTAACCGTTGTCATCTGTAATAACCAGGTCTTTAATCCAAGAGATAAATAATATAACGACTGGTAACTTGAAAACATTTTTGACCAATATGTTTTTTTTTTTTACTGTTCCGATGGGCTGGTAACTTGAAAAAATTTTTGACCAATTTTTTTTTTTTTACTGTTCTGATGGACTTGAATCTTGAATATTTTAATAATGAAATGGAACGAGTTTGAATGTTTCGTCAAAACAATGTTTAAATGGTGGATAGGTTTAAAGAGAGATTTACACATACAGTAGCATATTTTTCACTTACTTTTCCCAATATCTTGACACCCTTAAACAGACAGAGAAACACAAGAACCCAGGAAGCAAGTAGAGCTACTAATAGCTGCCATCTCATTGATCCAGGATTATCTATTCCATCACTAAGCTCTAATACATTACGCCTGTAAGGAAAAAACATTTATGTCATGCTCTTCAAGAGATCAAAGCCAGCTGTATAGAGGGGATTTTTGACATTTGAATAGATGTATTTTGTAGCACTACCCGTCGGTCAGATATGGAACTTTAACGTCCAGGTTTAACTGGCATGGATACTGATGGAACTTTCTTTTATTGGACTTTACGTTATTTTTTTTTTAGATATGGCTACCCAAATCAGTTATATATCAGGAACAACAAGATTTTTGTTAAATACTTTTTTTATATTGATGCAGAATACATAGTTGCAAGCCATAGTCTACATAATACTTAAAAATAACATGTCTTTCATTCTCTCAACTCACTCCTACAAAGTCGAGCCAGTCTAGCCAGTGTAGTTAAATCTGAAGTCAATCAGATGATAGTTTTAGTCCTAGACCGTCCACAAGCAACGGATAGTAGGAGGTGACAACAATATATGACCCCATTTCAATGTGGGCATATTAAAACAGTTGTAAACAGTTTAGTTGAATTATAAATTGTTATTAGTTGAATGCAGTTAGGTTTTATGGTCTATGTGTCTTGCCTTAAATTTCTTAAATTGAATAGCAAGAGAGGCAAATTTCTTTTTTGGAATTTTAATTTTTGCGACTTTAAATATACTCACTCCCAATATTCTTCACTAGCCGTCTTGTTTCCTGGGGTACGTAACGTATTATTTAATGTAAAATATATTGAATTATTGAATAAACTACTGTTAGCCATTTCATCATACGTATAATTAGACAATTCTGCAAAATATTTCGATCTTTGTTCATCAATACACAAATCTGTATTCCATTCATTATTACAGTTACTCCACGGTAAAACAGCCTGGAAGGACACGACTAAATAATACAACGTCCAAGCTATAATAACATTATAGTAGACACATACTATAGTAGACACCATCACCATGCCTATACCAACACCTGAAACATAGACAACATCATGGCATTAAAGATGCAGTTGAAGGAATGGATTTGTCAAATCACACAGATATCACAGGACAACTACCCAACTAAACAGACAGAATAAACCAAACACGGCAATACCTAGCCCATGCACTTATTATACATAAAGGCCAAAATATTGTCTCTTGCGGAAGTACTCAGAAGTACTTGTGGATCTCTTGAAATTTTACGTCCCATCAAAGCAGTAACAATCAATTGATCAGAAAACACTTCGCATTCTGTTGCTGGAACACAAAGTGAAATACACTACCTTCAAACCCCCATAGAAGTTCAACTGACTTGAAAACTTCTGTGCACATGCACGCTTTGTTGATTTTGCAATCTTCCCTCAAATACATTCCAATCAGAGCTCTCTCTTCAAACACATTCCAATCAAAACCACTGCTCTCACTTCAAATACATTTGAATCAGACCTCTCACTTCTAATACATTACAATAAGAGCTCTCACTTCTAATACATTACTTACAATCATAGCTCTCACTTCTAATACATTACAATCAGAGCTCTCACTTCTAATACATTACAATCAGAGCTCTCACTTCTAATACATTACAATCATAGCTCTCTAATACATCACAATCATGGCTATCATTTCAAATACATTACAATCAGAGCTCTCACTTCAATTCTTGCACCATGTTAAATATTATGCATGGAAATTATACTTTTTTTTAAATTTTGTGAAAAATAAAAGATACAACCAAGTTTTCAAAAGAAATATGTAGAAATAGTTGAAAATCAAAATAATTCTTGGTTGTTTCGCCAATTTACATTGTTTATAAAACTTTAGCCTCTACAATGTCCACGAGTTTTTCTACGTGTTCAAAGACAACAACTGACTACTCATGAATTGTGAAAAAGTTTGAGTCAATTGGATGATAACTTTGTCTCTAGAGCATTCAAAAGCAATTGTAGACCACTTTTCAATGTGAGCATATAAATAAACGAAAATAAAAGTTAAAAGATATTTAGAAATTAAAATTCATATGAAACATATATTTTAAATTGAAAACTACAGAACATTTCAACATTGATATAAAGGCTCTTCTCCATGGAAAGATGAAATAATGAAACAATACCATCATGTTAAATATTTTAATATATCAAGTTTCATGTACATCAATCAATATGGCATATTTTAATATAAATAGATTTCACAGGGTGTGATGTAATTCTATCTGATCCCTGTCATAATGATTACTGTATTTAATTACCTACTAGCATGGCTATACTATCCCCTTATTTAAACTAAATTATAGCCCTTTATAAAACTTTTGTTGCTTTAATATATCAAATACATCAATAAGAAACTATGTCCAATCATAACTTAAGTCTGAAAATGCTGATCGTAAGATTGCATAATTACAAATATTTTCTGATTAACAGAATGTTATTGAATATAAATCATTCGGTCACAAACAAAAGAAATGCATTTATATAGGTCAATTCTAATGCTATTCTGACGATATGTTTATATTATGTAAATTGCTAGATAAGAATCAATTATTATTTAAGTTAACTCCTATAATCAGGGTGAATAATCTTGGAATGTGATGCTTCACTGCAGCTTGTCATAAATTATTTAGCCACACAGAGCATACAAATAAAATAAAAGCATCAAATTGAAGGATTGTCATTTAAATGATGATAAATTTGAAATCTTATATCCATTGTCCATAGTAGCTAATATTAAGTGATGGTAGGACCACACCACACATAAACAAGACAAACATGTGGACACACACACACAATATACACAGACATTTCAAACTATAAACAACAAACATAGGCCTACATATCAAACCCAATGAATGGATCCAGGGGCCAGGCTACCACTGCACACCAATGTGTATACAGGAACTCAGTTTTTCGTCCCATCTAAACTACTATTGTCCCTTTTCCTGCAGCGTTGAAAAGGGAGAACAACGCCATAATTTTTTTATTGTATATAATGGGAGCATTTACACCTAAAAACAGCAGTCCTATAAAGGCAACATCCAATGAGGTAAATATTATAAATAATTCACATTTGATAAAATAGGGATGAACTGGTCTTGAAAGGAGACAAAGACATTTAAATTCTAATCAGTTATTACTTCCTTCATTTATAAACATAGAGATGTGAATACCACAAATTTAAATCTATTTTCGACCTCCTGTTAGGTTGGGAGATTTATTCAACCTTGTTTATTTATCTCTCAAGAAAATTCCAACAATGTCTTCTATTATGAAATCACAATGTTAAAACATTTAATTAAGGCAAGCTTATGAAATATGATATACTGGTAAAGATTTAACTTAAGTGGTATTGAGAAATACAGCTATTTAACTTAAACCGATTCATCCAGTCTCTCTCACAAAACCTCGACTCACAAAGCTTTTATCTAGTCTGGTGAGACTAAATTTTGATAAATAAACTGACAGTCATTAAAATTAATGAGAATTGTGAAACCAATTATTTAAATACATGAAATTTATTCCTATAATTATAATTATCTGAAATGACAATAAATACTTTTAGGGTGTTACATTAATACTTTAATGAGGTTATATTAATGAATACTTTAATGAGATTATGAGGTTATATTAATTAATACTTTAACAAGGTTATATTAATTAATACTTTAATGAGGTTATGAGGTTATATTAATTAAAACTTTAATGAGGTTATATTATTGAATACTTTAATGAGGTTACATTAATACTTTTACTTTAATACTTTTGTTTGATGGAACAAAATTCATATTGGACTGTCAGATGAGGCCTTGTCCATGGGGCAATTTTTAAACTAATAAATATATATTTGCATACAATGGGGGGAGTGGGTCCCGCACACTATTTTGTCAGCCATAAGGCTGGCCGAGTGCCAATAGTATTGGGCCTATAGTTTACACACAATTCATTCACTTACAGACACTCAACCTTGTTACAAATATAAGTAGTATAATAACCAATGAAACAGATGTTCTTTATATCTATCGTGTTAATGCACATACATATTATAGAAAGCAGGCATAATGCGAGCATAATCTAACTCACTTCAAGCAAGGTAAAATATGTGTGCTCTTTTGAGGTCAGCACATTCCAACAAAAAATGAAGGGGAAATTTCCAGTGCCCTAAATCAGAGGACAAGTTTATTGACTTCAACAAAGGGTTGAAATTAAATAGAGTTGCATTTTTTTTACAATGAACCAAAGAGTCACTCAGTAACATGACTTATTTTTAAATGACTGTGTTTATCTTATGGCAGCAGATGTCAACTTCATTCAACATATAAACATTAACATATATTGATATATTAGTGACTAATCATGTCATGTGGTCAGTCATCCACTACCTAATTGAAACATTGTAAAACTTACCTTTGAATAATGGACTCATCCGCCAAGCAGAAATTGGACTTAAGCTGGAAAACTGACCATAGGACACTTCCATAAAAAAGAGTGGAACACCACATACCACCAAAAATATAATGTATGGGATGAAAAAGGCACCTGAAATAAAGAATGTACTATCAAGAGATGACCATTTTGTAAAATTATGCTTTCCAGTAACTGAGTTCTTTCAATGGGATTAGAACATAATTTAACAGACTTGCAAATAGTCTTATCACATTCCGATTTGAATATCTGGTTTCGGTATTTTTTGAATATTTTGTTTTGACCCTTTAGGATGTAATGTATTGTTTGCTTTGTCTGTATTTTATTTCAACCATTCTATCTAACATCTAAATAAACTATTATATACTGGTATCTACATGAAGGTTTCAGTCTAACTACTGGAGAGAGAGACACTTGTTGGCTTTAACTTCTACTTAACACAAGCTAAATCATTTCAGGACTGACACAGAGAAAACCCACAAGGCTGGACAGGTGACCCTACCCCTTGTCACATACTGATGGAAGCCACACCACTTGACAGAATGACAGACCTTAAGATCTAAGTATTGGACCATTCAGACACCCAACCCTCCTCTTAACAACCTGTTAATGACAATTTTACTATTACTATATTGAATATTCATACATTATGTTTGAAATAAAAAAAATAGATCTATTCATTTCATATAAGGTGCTTCTCTATGGTTTACAATGTCTGTGTTTTGTCTTGTCCAAAGTTTCTCGTTAATTTGTATGTGTGGTGCAGTCCTCCTGCCCTTAGTAATATGTATGTAACTGGGAAATAATGACAAATTGTTTTAACCATTTTGTCTACTGTGTTGTAATAAACATTAATAACATGTCACTTTAATCATAAAACTGATTTATATATATCAGTAAGTAAACAAAGCTCTTAAATTAAATGATTTATATTACTAGAAGGAATGTCTCATATCACCCTGTAAACATTTATTGTCAATATCAAAAGCTATAAAAAACATTCATGACAAAACCCAATAACAAAGTACTTGTAACAACAATACATGTACATAGCCTATTTTCTTCCTGTTAATGATTTACAACAGGAAATTCTAATATTATCTATGATACCTTGGGTCTAAACACAATGAAGGCATCCTAGCTTCCCACAAAGGCTGTCACATTCTTCTTCTTTTGTACCCCTACGTGCATCGAATTATTGAAATAAAACTGAACAATATGTTAGTCTCTCTCTCTGTTTGTAGCCAATTCAGACATTAATTATCAAATAGCTATGAAATTCAACAGGCTTTTTCATTTCATCAACATGAACACATTTCAAAAATTGTGCAAAGATAGACAGAGATTGACACTGAAAGAAGCCTGAAATCAAAGCAGAAATTAGCCTGTGATCACATGTCACTTCAGTCAGTTATATAGAGGGATAACTCGTGTTTTCCTTTTGCGTTCGTCACTTCTGCAACCTGCATTACACATCTATCGTAGCAATGATCTGTGTATTAAAATTATATTTGGAACGTGTTAAACCAGTTCTATCACATGTGATAATGACTGACACCAATATTGTCCTTTAAAATAGATGAAAAGTAGTCTAAATTCTAAATCACATATTTAATGATTAATGTAATATGAATGTATATAAAGTGATTTATATTCATTTTAAAAATATTTTATTGTAATTTCTAAACAATTATGTTAAATATGTGATCAGTCTAAATTGAATGACTATCATTTATGCATGCTTAGTTAGTTCTTTTTACACTTTTCTGGTATTATCAATTTGTTGTTTGTGAATCAGTCATTACTTACTTCTGCATTGTCTTGTTGGGTATGTTTTTCTTTGTTCATTACAAATGGCACCCAAAACTACTTGTGTAGTGATTTTAAAATATTCATTTTGTCTGAAATATTGGATATTAGGAACCCATATTTTCACAGCAAGCTAACAATAGCAATATTGATTGAGATGGGCCAATATTGGATTTTAACTAATTTTTTTAATTTCAAATTTTATACGAAATATTGAGTTTGGGGTATAGCTCAGTGCCGGAAGTCTGTTGGTCAAATTTGAATTCTTTAATCTATATATGTCCATATAACCCTGCCAGGTGGTTTTCAAGTTTTCAGTATACACATAGAAAGTGATGTGCGAGTCTGAATTGTGAGTTCCCACTTATAAAATCACCGCAGTATTTTTTTGTCGGGAGCAAAAGCTCTGCAAAAAATCAGTTAATTGTAATGCAGTGGACACATTAGCCGAATCTTTCGGCCGAATCAATCGGCGGCGAATTTTATTCGGCCGAATGGGTGGACACACTAGCCGAATGCTTCGCCCTATTCAACCTGTCGATTGCATCACCTTTCACGTCACATGATTAAACATGGCGGCGTCTATGTCTTCAATCTATCACGTGACTTCTCGATTGGCTAATGAATTCTATATTTGGCCGAATGCTTCGGCGAAGCGGACACACCAGGCGAATATAATTCGGCCGAATATATCAAAACCTGTTTGATTCGGGCGAATCATTCGGCCGAATGACAGTGGACACATTAGACGAATCATTCAAAATAAATATATCCTTATTAATTACCCCACCCTTATGTTTTCTGTAGTAAAGGGAGGTAACTATATTAAACATTTCTGGTTGCATTTGGAAGTTCGAGAGAAATGGGTTTAACATCCACTCACGACAAACTAGATCTAAAATGCTTAGGTTAGACCCCATCCCACCCCCCACATTTAGAAGTGTCTAGTAGGCTAAATTATCAAGTACACTGAATAATGAATTGTTACTAAAATAATAAATGGCACTGGACAATAGTAAATTGAATCAATGACAACTAAATTCTGTAAAGCTCTTCCGAGTCATTATTTTGGAATGAATATCATACGGTGAACTTCATCTAGAAATGAGAAATTGTACTCCATCGGGATGGAAGAAGACACATTGACAGACATCAGCAGAATGAAACAACATTTAGCTATTGTTTGCAAGCATTAGGTAACAATAAATAAGTGAATTCCTGGAAACAGACTGAATAACCAGATGATGACATACAAAATGAGGAGCCTTGAAATGTGTTGATTAAGTAAAATGATCCTTTTGACAAAATTAAAGTAAAAACTTTCTTCCTGCATCAGCTTTTTGAAAAGGATGATCTGATGATTAGAATATTTTTTTGCATTGTCTTAATAAAAAATTTCAAATATATCTTTACTCAAGTCACATGTTGATTAATTGCATATGCTTCATTTTTGAATACACAATCTGCAATGGAGCAAAAATTACCTTGCCCCAAAATAAGCCAACATAAATGAAGATAGGTTGCCAGGCAACAAAACATACGCCCACAGCAGCTAAATCGTCCGAGCGGTCGACAAGGGTTGTCACATTTTTATTCCTTTGTAGGTAATTGGATGCCTTTACAAGACAGTTCCATACAGATCAGATTATAAATTTTGTCATTTGAGGGTTTACAAGCTTCTAAAGATAGGTTGCCAGGCAACGAAACATACGCCCACAGCGGCTAAATCGTCCGAGCGGTCGACAAGGGTTGTCGCATATTTATTCCTTTGTAGGTAATTGGGGGCCTTTACAAGACAGTTCCATACAGATCGGATGATAACTTTCATCAATCGAGCATTAACAAGGTTGAACAAAGTCAAACAAGGGCAATAACTCTAGAAGTAAGAAACGGAAATTGCTGAAATTCAGTAGGATTCTTCTCTTTACTAATTTAAATGACGCACATAAATTTCATACAGATCAGCATATAACTTGTGATGTTAGCGCATTCACAAAGTTCAATAAAGTAAAACAAGGGCCATAACTCTAGACGTAATAAACAGAAATTGCTGAAATTCAATAAGCTTCTTCGTTTCACTTATTTAAATAATGCATATAAATTTCAGAATGATCGGATGATAACAATTGGCGTTAGAGCGTTCACAAGGTTCAATAAAGTGAAATAAGGGCCATAACTCTAGACATAATACACAGAAATTGCTGAAATTCAATAGGCTTCTTCATTTCACTAATTTAAAAAATGCATATAAATTTCAGAAAGGGCAATAACTCTAGAAGTAATAAACGGAAATTGCTGAAATTCAGTAGGATTCTTCTCTTTACTAATTTAAATGACGCACATAAATTTCATACAGATCAGCATATAACTTGTGATGTTAGCGCATTCACAAAGTTCAATAAAGTAAAACAAGGGCCATAACTCTAGACGTAATAAACAGAAATTGCTGAAATTCAATAAGCTTCTTCGTTTCACTTATTTAAATAATGCATATAAATTTCAGAATGATCGGATGATAACAATTGGCGTTAGAGCGTTCACAAGGTTCAATAAAGTGAAATAAGGGCCATAACTCTAGACATAATACACAGAAATTGCTGAAATTCAATAGGCTTCTTCATTTCACTAATTTAAAAAATGCATATAAATTTCAGAAAGATAGGATAACTTTTGGGGTTAGAGCGTTCACAAGGTTAAACAAAGTGAAACAAGGGCCATAACTCTAGAAGGAATAAACGAAAATTGCTGAAATTCATTAGGCTTCTTCATTTCCCTAATTTAAATATTGCATATACATTTCACAAAGATCGGATGTTAACTTTTGGCATTAGAGTGTTCACAAGGTTAAACAAAGTGAAACAAGGGCCATAACTCTAGCATTAAAAACGGAAATTATTGAAATTAAATAGGCTTCTTCATCTCACTAATGTAAACAACATATATCAATTTTAAAACAATTGGATGATAACTTTTGGCGTTAGAGCATCCACAAGAAATTGTGGACGATGGACGGACGGACGGACCGACAGACGGGCGTACGGGGGTGACGGCAATATACGTCCACATTTCAATGTGGACGTATAAAAAGTGTCTTGGTCTGATAAAATAAATGTGCTGTTGAAAAAAATGTGCTTAATCAGGCTTTGACAAATCAATAATCCATTTTCTTAGTCAATGAAATACTAAAACAAGACATCCAATAAACCATCAGTCAGTGTAATTGAGAGTGTAGTATAATAATGGTTAAGCTATGCCAAATATGAACCATGTGGGCCTATAAAAAGCCAGATCCTTATATTCATGTA